GCAATATCAGCACTATGGCTTGGAGGTAAAGGTGCTTGCTGCCAAGCCTGACTCTCTTAGTTCAGTTCCAGGGACCAATATAATGGAAGTAAAGAACAGAATCCAGCAAGTTGCCCTTTGACCTCCACATATATATCTTGGCAAGGTTATGCCTCCTCCTATACACACTCATTCACATAAAAATAAAAGGTCATTTAAAAATAAACTATTCTGATTCCTTTCCCCCTTGTCTTACCATTTGCATGACTGATACCCTTTTCTAATTAGTTTGGCGTCAAAACAGTCGGCTAGCATGTCTGTATACCTCCACTCTGCCCCCACTAGACCATTTCATCTGCCCCTGCAAAACAAATCACCCACCCAATACAGACAGTGCTTTTAAACTCGATCAGCATAAGATGGCAGGAGATCCTGTCCTAACTACACAGCAGTTATTTTCTATGCAGGGCCACGAGTGAAAATGCCTGTCACTGTGAAACACTGGCATAGTCACTCAAGTCTCCAACAAGCACTGCCGTGGGGACTGAGGACAGAAATGGTGGCTAAGCAGGCACACTCATTCCGCCTACCTGAAGTCTGCCTTCTCAGAGGATGAGACAGGCGACGAGTTCATAAATACGGTCAGATGCAATACTTACCAACTATGGAAAGCCATAAATCGGGATAAGAAGAAGAAACAGTGGGAGACTAAAGACTGATACTGAAGAGAAGGGTCAGCAGGGCAAGGCTCATTGCAAATGACACTGATGCAGGACCTCAGAGAGGAAGGAGTAAGCCCTTGGGGACCCTAGAATAGTCGTGTCCAGGCAGAAGGAGCAGCAGCCTTCTCTTTTTGAGGATGCGAAGAAGATGGGTCTGGATTGAGAGGGGGAGTGTGATAGATGATAGCGTCAGATATGTAGGAGGAGCCCCTGTTGCTTGAGGCTTTGGGCCATTTTTAGGACTTGACTTTGAATATGAGCTGCCACCAGAGGAAGTCTTTTTTCATCATACCTTAGGAAGGACCAGTCTTTTAAGAAGAGCTTAACATGCCGTGTGATCCCCGGGAGGATGCCATTTTCAGTGGCGTTGACAGTGCGATTTTTCATAAGAGGAAATAAGATGCAAGAAGAGACACAGCTGGCAGTTGATGGAGAGAGAATTTAAAGCCAACGATCCTAACCCACACCATCATACTAACCATGCATTATACTGTCTCTCTGTTTCTACCCCTTGATGGAGTCAAGGATGTCAACTCAGAATTCTAGACGAGTAGGTCAAATCATGACTAATAATTCATTTACCTTATTTTCTATTCTGTTTATTTTACAGAGATTTTTTTGGTGAGCTAATAGAGTTATTGTGAACCTTAATCAGATTTCTTTCTAAAGGGTTTTTTGGCATAGTAGGTTATAAATATGTAGGTGAATACACGCTGTTTAATTTTTTGTTTATTTTCACAACACAAGTTAACTGTATATCTTTGATGTAGAAATTTTTGAGTTCAAAAGAATTTAGGTCAAAATTTCAAGACAGCTGTTTTTCTGACTCTATTGAACTTACAATAAGCAAGTAAACGCTGGGCGGTGGTGATGCATGCCTTTAATCCCAGCACTCGGGAGGCAGAGGCAGCAGGATTTCTGTGAGTTCAAGGCCAGCCTGGGCTACAGAGTGAGTTCCAGGAAAGGCTCAAAGCTACATAGAGAAACCCTGTCTCGAAAAAACAAAACAAAAAACAAAAACAAAAAAAGCAAGTAAAAGCACATTTAGTCTTAGATTAAGGATGACTTATTCTTTTGGTGGTCATTTAGAAGGCTTTACCATAGCTAAACTTGGTGGCACATGACTGTAATGTGTATAATCCCAGTACCTGGGAGGCTGATGCAGGAAAATCTTGACATTGTCTCGGAGAGAGGATGCAGAGGCAAGAGAAAGCATTGACCACATTCACAGAGGCAGGAAAAATCCTTACAAATGTGCCTCCTGATAAGCATTAAGCTCACTCAGTCAACCTGAAATATCTACTATTCTAAATATGTTTCCTATTTATAGTCTGTTCTCCTAATTATTATGAAGGTTAATGTCAGATACTGTAGAAAAGGTAGGTTCTTAACCCCACTGCCTTTTATGGATGTTTTCAACTTGGATACAATTATAAATATAACCTTCGAGTCTAAATGAACAAATGCCTTGATACAGCTAGCTTTGGACAAGAAATTATTTTAAATCCCCCTCTGACCAGTGTTGGAATTAAAAACTAGACTCAAAACCTATTTGCCCACAGACTTAAACACTAGAGGACAAAATGACTTTGTCTTCAAAAGCAGTACATGCTGACAGAGCTTTTTAGAGGATAAGGTCAGAAGGCCTCCTCTGAATAAACATGTCACGCTGAAGGTCATGGTAGTGCTGCCAGTCAAAACAAGTCTATGACTCTAACCTTGAGTTCAAGAAAGGAGATTGTGATGTGGCCTCATTAGTAAAGGATCAGTGGCAGCTTTAAATTCCTTTTTATTACTTTCGTGCATTTTATGTTTTAGTGCTTAAAATATGTAGGCTAGGGCCAGCTGGATGGATCAACAGGTGTACATGTCCTGGCAACCTGAGTTTGATCCCTGGATCCCAAAAAATGGAGGGAGAAAGTGGCCCTATAGAGCTGTCAGCTGAACCCCTTCTCATGCAAGCGTCCAGGGATCCACGCGCACATGCACACATGCACAAAGAACTTCTGATATCATAAAGAGGGACCACAAAGAGCTCACTAGCTCTTCCCATCCTCATCCTTTTCTTCCAGTCATGAAGTAGCCATAGGCCCAGTCACGGCACATGTCCCGCCTTTCCTGCTGAGATGTGAGACATGATATGTGTGGCTTCCAGCCCTGGCTGGTGAAATCTCCTATTTGCTCCCTCCTCCTATGCACTGGAAGGAAGAAGAAATGTCCCAGAGCAAGCCTGGAGCTTTGTGCTGAAGATGGCAGCTGTTCTGGGCCCCTGCAATACTCAAGAAACATACCATGTGCCCCCGCCGCCCAGTTCTTTGAGTCATTGAGTTTGGACTTCGTGTTATTTGAGTTACCCTAAACAATGCAACAGCTCTCATCCACTATGGCACATTGATCACTCATGCTGAGCTACGCTGGGCACTGGGAGTGCGGTGGCAAATGTGATCCAGACAAACAACTGATCTTGCCCTCATCACTTTCATAGTTTGCCTGCCCCAAACACACTTTGTCACAGTGTTTACAATACCTTTGTTTTTGTCATAGGCCCTGAATAGGGAAGTTAACCATTAATTGCCAAAACACAGAATGCAGAAGCCAATGCGTTCTTTCTGTATTCAACTGTGTACAAGGGAAAGGAATCTTGGAATTGTATATAAACAGGGCAAGATTTGTTTAACAGTAACAACGTACTACCTGCTTTTTCAGATGGAAGGGAAGCTATAGCTCAAACACAAGGGTGGCACTGAGGAGAAACTGCTCAGATTTCTTGTGTTGTGGCTTTGATTCTTTTTCTTAAAAAAAAAAAAAAAAAAAAAAAAAAAAAAAAAAAAAAAAGGCCGGGCGGTGGTGGCGCACGCCTTTAATCCCAGCACTCGGGAGGCAGAGCCAGGCGGATCTCTGTGAGTTCGAGGCCAGCCTGGTCTACAGCACGAGATCCAGGAAAGGCGCAAAGCTACACAGAGAAACCCTGACTCGAAAAACCAAAAAAAAAAAAAAAAAAGAAAGAAAGAAAGAAAAGGTATTGGCTTATGAAGAATTGGGTTGTATTGTGGTGTTTTTTCCATTTCTCTCCTTCCTTTTTGCCCTCCCACCCCATAGCCATCTTTCCTCTTTGGTGCCACAGGGGACCTTTCACCCCTCCTCCACTTTTTTCACACTCTTTGTCCCCCTCTATCTAGTTTCAGATTTGTTACCTACTCCCCTAACTCGTTACTTGTTATTCGCACAAACATTAAAAGCTAGGGGGCCTCATGTGAAATAGAAGATGCATTTGTGTCTTTCTGAGACTGGGTCACTTCATTTAATGTAATCTTTTCAGTTCCATCCACTTTGCTGCAAATTTCATGGTTTCATTTTTTATTAACAGCTGGCTAAAATTCCATTGTGTATAAACCACATTCTCGTTATGCATTCTTCTGTTGATGGACATCTATGATGGCTTCATTCCCTTGTAGCACCGAATAGTGCATCAGTAAACATGGATGTGTAGGTGTCTCTGTGGTAGGATATGGAGTGCTTTGGGTATATGCCCCGTCATGATATAGCTGGGTCATATGATAGTTCTATTTTTAATTCTTTGAGAAACTTCTACACTGATTTCCATTGTGGTTGCCCTAGTTTACACTCCCCCAATAGCAGATAAGAAATGCAAAGAACATTTCCTTTTTTATGCAGGCAGTTGAATCTAGGGCCTTGCTCTACTACTGAACTACTTGCCAAGCCCAAGAGATGCCCTTTGGACCAAATTGATTTATAATCAGACCATTCTACTCATCATGGACTATTGTTTACTCAAGGTCATATTAGTATTGTATTCCACAACGGTAATAAATTAAGTTGGGTGTGAGAGCACACAACTGTATCTTAGCACTTTCAAGATGAAGTTCTGAGGATCACCTCAAGGGCATCCTACATTACATGAGACTGTGTCTCAAACAATAACAACAGGAAAAGGCTATTAAATGAGCAGTGACTGTTACATCAGCTCTGATTAGATTCGAGATCATTCCTCCATTGGATTTCCAAACCATCCTGATTTTCTGGCAATCTGAGTTTTGCACTTTAGCCAAAGAGCTTTTTTAGCTAATGTAGATGTTACAGTCAACCATTTCCATAACACTGTCAGTTGTCTATGTTAAAGGGATGATAGGAGTCAATTTATCTTCATGCCAATAACCATTTCAACAGAGTGTGTCTGTATCTATTTTTTTCCTGATTTTTCTATTTTAAAGAAAGGATGATACGCTGTTGAATTTTTCTTTTGTTCCCTCATAGCAAACAACATGTTTTGTGTTACAGAACATGGAAAGTCTTAGTTCTGTGCAGTCGCACGAAAGACCTGGACCTGAAGCTGTTGAACTGAGGTCCAGTGAAAGGTAAGTTTAGAATTTTCTTCTCACCCTGTTTTCAAGGGCATGAAAAGATTTCCTTCACTAAATACAGTGTGAGTTAGAGAACACAGAAAAGAGTAGGAGGAAAGGATTGTGTGTAGCCAGAACTTATTGCAAATAGAGTATTTGGCATGCAGATTATGTTATTATGGCTAATAATCACATCCAGGTATGATTTTCTTATAGGTTTTTTTGTCTACATGCATTATTTTTAGGATATAATATTTTGCCAGGTGGTGGTGGTGCACACCTTTAATCCCAACACTTGGGAGGCAGAAACAGGCAGATCTCTGAGTTTGAGGCCAGCCAGGTCTACAGAGTGAGTTTCAGGACAGCCAGGACTATACAGAGAGACCCTGTCTTGAAAAATCAAGATATAATGTTATTATTAATTATTTGAAATTTTCATAAAATCTATTTTGGTCATATTCAACATCTCTCCTCCAACTTCTCCAGATCCACCCCTCTCCCTTACTCATCCAACTTCATGTTCACCTTTTTAAAAAAGACAGACCCACCCAAGTGTGTTGTCTAAATACTCTTGGATGTGGGAACTGCCCTGGAGTGTGGATCACACCCTTAAATAAAACTGACTCTTCGTCTCCTAGCAGCTATCAAGTGCCAATAGTGCCTCAGCTAGTGTTGGAACTCGTACCCTCCTACACACACACACACACACACACACACACACACACACACACACACATACACACACACCCTCCACCCCTCACACTGCCCATCAATGCTGGGATTTTCTTCTGTCTTGAGCTTGTGCAGATCTTTTGACACAGTCATGAAATGCTATGAGCCCACATGTGTTGCTATGCTCATAGGCTGTCTCATATACATCTCTAGGCTGTCTATTAAATCTTAACTTTCTGTTCGATTTTGTTTTTGAATTTTATAAGAATTCAATTTAGAGATACTCTGATTACTTTTAAAAAGAAAATTATAATATGAATAGATAAAAGAGATTATAAAATAAATGGACAATGTATGTATTTTTTTGTTGTCGATAGCAAAGAAAATGGAAGAGGTAGTGGAGACACTCAGCATTATGAGGTGAGTAGCTAACAAAAATGTAACTGGTGGGGCTTTGCTCTTGTTCTTGAGTGTGCTTCTGAAACGTCTCTAGCCTGTTGATAAGAGCCAATGAAGTCACTGACAGGACTGTGATTAGAAAGGAGGGTAGATCGTTTTACTTCTTGTAAAAATTGTAATAGGTCGTGACACTTCTGTGGGTTTTCTACTAAAACAAAACAGTGACTGGTTTGATGTTTCTATGACTTGATACATCTTTTAAGTGTATGAAACACACAGGTAGTGAGTTTCAACTCGTCTGTCACAAGGATTGCCTCATTAGTTTTCAAGTGAACATAAATTCAGATTAAGTTACTTACTGGGATTCCTTTGGTTTCAGATTAAGTGAAAAACAGAATGAAAACTCTCCCTCCCTAGTGTCTATATGCCCAAGTTCCGTTCGTTTTCCTGTCCTTGCATATGTTGTCTTAGTAACACTATCCTGACTCAAGGACTCATTTTCTCCTGTGCCCATTTCTGGTTCAGTTTAGTGCCTGAATTTTAAATTCGTGTATGTATATTATATCTTCTACTCCTGAATGCTTCCAGATCCAGTGTCAATTTTAGTGTTTATGGGGAAAATTAAAGCTTTTCTCAAAATATTGTTAAATGTAGATTATACTAATAATATAGAAAGAACAGTCTCTGTAGCTGAGTAGCTCTTAATACTTGCTGAGGACTGGCCTAATTTATTAACGGAGTTGTTCAACAATGTCTATTAAATTCTGTATATTAAATCCATATATTCTATGCTGGGAATAGGCATTTAACTGCAGCCAGAGTTACTGCCCCCAGAGAGCTTTGAGTCTAGCAGATTAAGAATCTAAAAGCTGTGCCAGATGGAAGTGAGTGGTGTAGCTGAGTGGTAGGGTATGTATCTAGCAAGTACAGTGTTCTAGACTTGATCTCTACCAGAAAAAAAAAAAAAACAAAACAAAAACAAAAAACAAAACAAAAACCCCAAGGAATCTTTAGCATCTTTCTCCTTAGAAAAGTACACACTCACATGAAACCACTGTAAATTAATGAAAACTTCCCCACTAATGCTGTAGATTTCTTATATTTCTTCTACTCAGGTCTTGTCATGTACGCTTCTTCATCAACCTAGATAGAGAGCTGGACATGGTGCCCCATGCCTGTAATCCCAGCGCCCAGGAGGCTAAGGCAGGAAGGATGACAGCTACATCACAAGACTGTCTCCCCCAAAATAACCTAGGTGGAGACTGCATCATCTTCTTAGAATTCAAGCTTCTGCTTCTGTGATAATTCCCTTATATCTTATTTCCAACTCAAATATCCACAGGACCAAAGCAAGAGGCCGAGGTGCTTCCCTTGTCGCTAGGGACTGTGTCAAAGAGCATGTTCCTTCTTTTCCCTGCCATCTTCCTTGACTCACAGAAAGCCCTTTGACATTAAAGTGTGTCGACTTCCTGGAGAGGTCTTCTGTCCTGGGATAAAGTGGAATAGAGCAGTCTTGTCAATGAACTTCATGATAGTAAATCACAATTCCAAATGGCATTCATTCACAGTGTCCCCCCTATGTCTCTGGGCCGCAGCACAATCCTTGGGACAGAGCTTAAGTTCTTCTCCCAAGTGCCAGGTCTTCTTCTTACATGAGCCGTGCATATGTAGCACCAATCAGCAACCAGCTCACTGCTAGTACTCTGTAAACATTTCGCTCTTAGTAAACATCACTGTCATGACCACTTCAGATAGGAGAAGAAATTAAATAGTGAGTGAAAAATCGAGACTAAGCTCTATTGGTCATCCTCCATCATAGCAGCACCAATGAAGAAAAAGACACTACTTCACACAATTAGAATTATATCTATTTTGATGGAATGTTTTACTACTATTCATTAAAGAATGGGAGACTTGTTTTCCATTTTAAATGTTCTTTCCCTTGCTTTGGTATGCTATGATTTCATATAGATCACTTCCTAAAACTTCTGGAACAACGGTAGTCTTTCCATCTCAGAAATGAAAAGTCTACACTTCATTCACCATTTCTAGAATTCTGACTAACTATTATTTATTTTGTTTCAAGTCTCCTTTAGCATCAAGCTGATGCTAAAGAATTTGCCAGAATTTGTATGCCTACAATGAATTCATTTTGAAATTTCATTTTCCAGTAAGATGATTTTGTTCCCACTGACATTGGCCTTTAAGAGTCTTTGAGGTCAGGCGGTGGTGGTGCATGCCTTCAATCCCAGCACTGGAGAAGCAGAAGCAGGCAGATCTCAGAGATCAAGGTCGATCTGATCTACACAGTGAGTTCCAAGACAGCCAGGGCTACACGAAGAAACCCTGCCTAGAAAAGCAAACAAACAAACAAACAGCAACAACAAAGTCTTTGTGAAAACTGTCAGCTGTCTAAGAGGTTGGAGAGGTGTTTTTGTGACTAGAGTTCTGTCAGGTGAGGGATACTGACCCTCAGCCTCAAAGCTGCTCCTTATTGTAGGGACAGACAAGCAGACAGAGGCTTCTAAGTGTGCCTCTTGATGTCAAAATGCAGGCATAACAGTGATTTCATTTTTTTTCAAATATCAATTGGCAGCTTTAAGCATACCTTGTACCAAGGCCTGTACTGAGAACGATCATAACCTTGTACCTTTACTGCATGTCTTTAAATTTTTATTTTAATTATGCAACTGAACTTATCCAAGAGGAGGGTCTCTGAGAGCCCCGGAAAAGTGCTGATCACCAGGAGTTACTCATTCCTTTCTCCTGAGGTTTGGATTAGACTTTATTTAATGACACACAATTTAAAAAAAAAAAAAAAAGAGTTGAGTCACTTCAAAATGCTACAGACGAAAGTAGGGTTTCTTGGGGCAGCCCTTGGAGAGGTTGGCACTTTCATAAAGTATCTGCCTTGGGCTGAATGAATAGAGGTAACTTAAGAGGTGGCGAGTGTTTTATGACGCGTGGAGCCTGGCGTGTTTGCTCTTTCTTTCTGAAACTCATTGAAAAGCACAGGTGTCTGGAAGAGAAAGCATCCTTATCACTCTTCTAAAACATATAACTGAGATACCTTTTTAGACTTGTGCTTACTATGGAAGTGCCCTACACGTTGAAGCCTTCTGGAAGCTAAGCATTTCTCTTTAAAGGTTTAGTTTTATTGTTTTAATTATATGTCTGCATGTGACATGCCTGTGAGTGCAGATGCCCACGGAGGCCAGAGGCATCAGATCTCCCCAGAGCTGGGATTATAGACAGGTGTGAACTGCCTGATGAGCTGGGAACTGAACTTGGGGTCTCTGTAAGAGTAGTAAGCACTCTTGCCCTAGGGATGGGTCCTGATCCCACTGCCAGGGGGCCCCCTAGGACATGAGAGGGCTTTTTGGAGCCCACTGCCTATAGTGGGAGACCTTACACAGCCTTGGTGCAGGGGGTGGGGGGGCTTGGACCTACCTCAGCTGAGCGTATCAGGTTCTGCTGACTCCCACCCCTTGCTCTGGAGGAGGTGGGAATAGAGGGTGGAATGGGGAGGAAGTCTGGGGGGGTAGGAGGAGGGAGGGGAGGGGATCTTTGGTTGGTATGTAAAATGAATAGAAAATTTCTTAATAATAAAAAAGTACATTTAAAAAAAAAGAGTAATAAGCACTCAATCACCGAGCCCTCTCTCCAGCCCCAAGCTAAGCAATTTTCTATTGTGAAAATGTTACTGTTCATATAAAACCTGAATAGTCAAACAATAAACTTATAATGAATCTCTGCTGTGGAAGTAAGAGGAGCGAAAATTATTAACTGTATGAAAAGCATTGCATTTATCTGAAAGAGATAATTTTATTCCAGAATTCTAGGTCAATGAAATGTTAAATTCTCTCAAGACATTTTTATGTTCTTTATGCCTTCTAAGCCCACTGATTAAGAGTGATTAGAGGCATACTTTTGATAACAAACAGGACATTCATCACAAAAGCCTATTTCCCTTTTCTTTTCCTCCTGCTTCAAAAAAGTAAGTAAACAAAAGAAGGAAAAGAAAAAGAAGAGAAAGGAAGAAGTTGAGGCTTGCCATGCAAGACAGAGCGTTGCCTGTCCCACCAGCCATCTCAAGTCCAATCTCTCACTGACCCTGAGAAAAGGGACAATCAGTGCTGACCACAAGCCACTGGAGCTTGTGACACACGAGAACCTTGGGGATGTGTTATGTCTACACTCCTTTATTATCGGCCAAACAGTGAATGCTGGTGGTTTCCCGTGTCCAGTTAAGACTGGCTTTTCCTGGGAAAGCTGCACTGTCCAGCAGCCTCTAGTGGTGTCGTTCCTCATCCTGCTAAGTCCTCAGCCATGTCCCCAAATCCTGTCCAGGGAAAGAGAGGGAATGACACATAAATGCTGTCATTGGAAGCCAAGGAAGGGGGCAGAGCAGAGCAAACAGGATAGGTTCGAGTCTCAACAGTGAGACCAAAAGCCTTGCTGGTTAATGGCCTGGACCTGCATGTGGAATGTCACCTGAGACCCAGGTGAGACAAGCTGTCTATATTGGCCCTCTGCCAACCTTTCCCCTCCCTTTATAAATTCTATGACACTGGCCCTTGGACATTCAATGTTGCTCTTCCACATGGAATTCTATACCTTATGCACTTGTGAATTCTGTTGCCCAGAACATACTACCCATTCAAAAAAACATTTGCCAAGTGAATGGGGAAAGGAGTAGTGGGAGAAACAGAAATCTCTTTACCCTTACTGTGGGCAATCTGTTTGTATATGTTTTCCCTTTATTCCTCACAACAACCTTAAGATGCTCAGTCCAGTGTCAGAGAAGGGAAGGGAAGGCCAGAGATGCTGGCTCACAGGTCTTGACAAAGCAAAGCTGCTATTTAAACTCAGGTCTCTGCCTCCATAAGCCATCCTGATCTGCCTACTGTACTGGATCCTCTGTGAGCCCTCCATGATTCCATTAAGCAAAGATTCACTGTGTATTCATGTGAGGCAGCATTTTGAAGTTCAGTGTGCTCCACATCATAGCATGAAATATTTCTGAGTTGAAAAATGTGCAATTGACTTATTTTTTATGTAACTGAAGATACTTGATGTATAAATAACAAAAATTTAAACCAAAACTACTTTGGTATTTGAGACTGTCCTTGACATTGTTAACCCAAATGATCAAAGGGAAAAAACAGATAAGCGAATAGGCAGTATTTGCTGTGTCTATGATAAGCATTCCTAGAGAGTATGGCCTGCCTGACAAGGGGCCTCTGCCAAGGTACCTACGGGAAGGAAGAGCAGTTTAACTTCTTGCACATGGCTACAGAGCCTGAGCAGCCACTGAGTAGCAGCCCACCATCATTGCCCCCCTCTTGTGCAGTTGCCAGTTGGGCAACCCTAGGCCAGGAGAGCACATGAGCTTCATAGACCAATGGGCCAGAAATTAGGACTCAGGCTGCTAAGACCAGAGGACAAGTGAAACAACAACCTCAGGGGTGGATCAGAGTCCAACAAGACAGAGCCACGCTGTGCATGTGTCCCACCAAAACAGAGCATGCTTGCTGCGCAAGTGTGTCCATGATTTCCTAAGCTGGGATAGGTGTACGGAAGAGGGATGTGTTCACTGTTGTCCCAAGAATCAGCTTCAGTTAACCGAGGTTTCTCTATGCAGGATGTCCTGCTCCACACCGAATGGTGCCCACCCTGGTGGCCTGTCCTTACTGGATTTCAGATGCAGTGACTGCTTGCTGTTTGTAAACCTCATAGAAAACAACAAGGCCTCGTTGAGCAAAGCTCCATATGCTCACATCCTCCTTCCTGAAATGCTCTTCCCAGTGACAGCCCATTTCCTCACTTCCTTCACACCTCTGCCTAGGTCTCATTATGGAAAAGAGGCCATCTCTGTCCCTTCAATATAAAATAAGACACCTCATCCACTGTCACTCATACTCATCTTTCCTTGTTTTTTTTTTTTTTGGTTTTTCGAGACAGGGTTTCTCTGTATAGCTTTGCGCCTTTCCTGGGACTCACTTGGTAGCCCAGGCTGGCCTCGAACTCACAGAGATCCGCCTGGCTCTGCCTCCCGAGTGCTGGGATTAAAGGCGTGCGCCACCACCGCCCGGCTATCTTTCCTTGTTTTATCTCTATCGACCTAATGATGTTTTTATTTTTAAAACTTTTAATGACGTACTTATTTTTATTTTATGTGTAAGGGTATTTTGGCCTGCACGGATGTCTGTGTATTATGTGTGTGAAGTAGGTGTGGAAGCCAGCGGAGTTCAGATCCCCTTGAACTGGAGTTACAGACAGTGGGAGCCACCATGTAGATACTGAGAATGGAACCTGGGTCCTCTGCGAGAGCGACAGTGTTCTTAACCACTGAGTCAGGCAGCACCATTGGACACTTAATTATGCTGTGCTTAGCCCAGCATATGGGGTCTGTCAGCCTTGCCTCTGCTTCTGGCACTTCGGTCGTCTGCCCGCCCCTTCTTAACCTTGGGGCTGGCCACCTTGGAACCCCTTCTCTCACCCTGGCCACGGTGCTCCTCCATGCTTTGCTGGCCTTCGTCCTAGCCCACCTCTTCCTTGTATGTGACGTGTCCTCTTCTACGGCCTTTCCACCCACCTCTGTTGCCTGAGTCAACTGCTGCTGTCGCTGATCAACGGCAAACACACTGGTAGCTCTGTTTGCTGATTTTTTTTTTTTTCATGATGCGTGTTTCCCATCTTTCGATGTAGCGTGTTTTACCTAAAATCCAGTCATACACACTGTGTCTCCTAGTCCCCTCGCCAGCAGCTTGAGGGCCTGGCATTTTACTTGTTGGTCTTTGCATGGTGCCTTATAACAACAGAAAGAATGGTGCTTCTGTCTGGCGGTTCTCTTTTTTCTGTTGTTGGCTAGGATTAGATTAGGCTTTGATTAGAACCTCTTAGATTATCCCAGAACTTTACAAGGTTATTTACTATATACATGTTCCATTCCTCTGTTTTACACATTTATAGTCATACAAACTCACATGTTTACACACAACTTTTGACTGATTGTCCCTAAAACATCTAAAAGCTGGTACCACCAGATCGATGCCTTCAGCCTCGGTCCACTTAGGCTAAACTCAAGGAACGAATGGTTCCTGTAATGTGGCTGTTTCCTAATAGACAGATAACATGCTCAGAATGCCCTAGAGTGTAAGGTTGCCATGGTGTTTTCACGTGATGCTGCTACTCACCTCGACCTTACTGAAGTTTTGTTCTGTTACCAGTGTGAAGAAAATGCCAGTCTTCATGCTTCACTCAGTAGAAACAGAATAGTACAAAAGCACTGAGTATTCCCCTGGTGATCTCAAAGTGGGTCGGACAGCTACTAAAAGGAACTGAACGTCTTAAATAGCACTTTATTTTAAGAATAACAACATCTCCTACATTAGTGAATTCACTTATGATTTCCAGATGGTCTTGGTTTTCTTTTTTCAATTAATAATAGGATAACTAAAAATAAATGTTCATTTACCCCAAAGAAAATATTTTGTGCAGATCTGTGCTACTTGAAAAGTACATTTTTGAGTAAAACGATTTAAGCACAGTCATTTATGATTTTATGAAAGCAGGAAGAGACAGAACAGCTTCATTTACAATATGCCAGGAGAACAAGGTAAATCAAGACAATTTTGATGCAAGAGAATTAATTTAAGTGCTATTTTAAACATACACACAGAAGCATTCAGCATAAATATCTGCCTATTAGGAAAGATTCCCCTCCCATCAGATGTCCTAGCCAGGTGTCGGTGCTGCCTATGGCAGAGCCAAATGCAGCTTTAAGGTACATGAATAATTAGAAAAACAACCGGCGGTTACATGTTTGTAAGATATAAATTACAAATCACCGACTTGCCAGCTCTTACTTTTTTTTTCCTGGGAGGGGAAGATTGTTCTCCCTGTAACCTTGGCTTGTTTTCAGGGTCTATTCCTCCCTGCTAGCTGAGATGAAACACCAAACCCGTGCCATTTGAATTTGCGCAACAATACTTTAATACCCAGAGCGCCTCCATAAATAGTCTGTTCTCCCCACACTCCAGAGAAAACGGCCCGGTTGAATCGATCTAAGCCTGAGGGCTCAGAGGAGTGTGGTGCCCCCAGCTTCTGCCCAGGTCCTTGCAGGAATGTTTACCTAAGCTACAAAGATACTGCTTGCCAGACACACCATGTTGCTGCCGCAGCCTTAGCAACCGGCGCCAGGTTTTTGTTGTTGTTTACCATCTGGTGGGCCATGCTCCTTTAAGAAACATAAACTTCTCCTCCTTCCCGGCCTCAGTCAGTAATCATTCACGACCTGTCAGCTGTCTGAAGTCATCTGGAGGAGCAGCCTACAGAAATCATCTTGCCTCTCCCCCCCAAGAAGAAAAGTTAAAAGCTGGCAGATGGACAGTGGCTTTCTGCATGAGAGTAGCCAGATAGTGCCCACGGGGCATCTAAGCTTGGGTTTTATTTCTGCAATGGAAGTGTTAGCAGCTGTGGCTGGGGAGGTTACTTTCAGAAGGCGTGGAATCGCTGCAAATGTTTTTGCATTTTGGTGAACAGTAGCTATTAGGGGACATTGTGCTGTTATTGCAGAGCCCCACAATGAAGATTCAGGAGCATCCCAGTATATCTGACACCAAACAACAGAGGAATCAAGATGCCGATGATCAGCAAGAGAGCTTTGTCCCTGAAATGCCCCCGTTGGACCTGACAGCATTGTGTGATGAGAAGAACTGGGAAGGTAAGTGATCCTCTGCCATTTGGATTGTTTGGCACTGAAAAAAATCAATATAAATAAGTCCATGCAAGGTGTGTGACTGCATGCCTGTGAGGTCGAGAGTAAGAGCTATGCATGCAGAAGAAACTGGGTTTCTACAAAGAAATAACCGAAAATCCTTTACCAGGCAGCACAGGAGCAGGCTTAGTGTTGCCTAGGGTAGTTGCAGTACAAGAAAGGAAGACAGGCATGCTCTTTGTCCTGGTGGCACCTTGCAGTATATTTTTAACCCACCAAGCATGCTGCCCCTGCTTGTGGTATGCCGCAGAAAGCCGGCCACCCACTACCTCATCCACCACCCCCACGCCTCAGCTGCCCCCCTGCTACCTACCATTCACCCCACTACATCACTCACTTCCCGCAGTACACCTTCCAGGTTGTCAAGGAAGATGTTTTTCTTCGCTTTTCTTCTATCTTTTAACGTATGCATTAAAAAAAAAAACAAACAGGTTAACACACACTAACGAGAACACTGAATGCTGAAAACATGGTTTCAGACTTTTTTTTTTTTCCCCAGAGACGTCTGGTGAAAACATCAGAAATTTACTTTGAGGAAGAAGTTAGCTTTATCAAAACTCTGTCAGAGAGGGCCCAACAGCCGTTCCAATCAAGGTGCCTTCTTTATCCCTCTGTCTACACTCAAACCCATATCCGCGCTCGATAGAGTGACTTTCTGAAGGCCACAGCGTCATGACTTAGCAGAGGGTCACAACTATGAAAATCAGCCCTGCTAGTCCTAGTGTGCCCTGCCCACTATGCAGACCCACTCCTCTTTTTCCACCCAATGATCAAAGTCCGTCTGAAAAGCCCACATGTGAAAAGTTGACCTAGTTATCGTTCTGGCCTGCGGGGCTTTGAAAAACTGTTTTATTTTCATTTTCCTTCCTGTAATCTAAGAAACCTGTTCTGGTTATTTTCACATAGTTAGGCAGCAGATCTGAAATTTTGTCACATCATCCCAGCTCAAAATATTCAGAGAACAAAAGAGGGCACGGTTGACTTGCTTCATGTCATGTTAAATTTAACTGATCTATGTCTGGATATCAGTTGGTTTATCGTTCATTTCTGCCCACTTTGAAATAATCATATGTCTTTTTAATCTATAAATTCACAACAACCTGCCTTCTCTACCCACAAGAGTCTCAGAGTGCTCACTGTTGCCCACATAATAGCAAAAGCAAAAATAAATAATGAGTTTCAGTGATACAGCCTATCTTATAGATTTTAAATAAGAAGAAGAAATTGGAGCCAAAATTCAAATGAGCTGCAGCTGCTTCCTGCCCCTCCCCTGAAATGGACTGGACTTGGTTTGATTTTTTCTCTTGGTTAATCATAAATTCAAATTTCTCTCTCTACATACATAACCTAAAATAAAGCTGAACCACGTGTTCCAGAGTGGTTGAAAGTCAATTTAGAGTTTCTTAGAAACCATTCTATTACTTTAAAGAACTATTCTGCAGAGAATAAAAATCTGGAGGAACCAGCATCTTCTTTAGAAGGTTAAGCATGTTTTCTAAAAGGTTATTGGGAAAATGCGCTTTACAGGCTGTTTGGGAGCGCGAGACTTTGGCTTCATGCAAATTGTTGCGACTATTCATTTTTCCCATTACATTGGCATTTGTTGTTGAACTTCTACACCTTTCAAATCTACAGGGATTTATTTTTCAAGGTCATTTTGGCTGTTTATTGCTCTCAGTAACCTTTTTAAAATGACCTATTTTAATTTCCAAATAGGTTTATAACAGGAACATGGCCATAAGTATAGTCAAAATAAAGGAACCAATGCGAAAAGCTAGATTAAATGACAACAATAAATTTGGTGGCTAGAAAATCATCTTGTTTATAGCTTCAGTGATGCAAGAAAAGGTGTTTTTCTAGTAGCAAGTAGCTTGACACTGGTTTAAGTTGTGCACACAAAAGCAAGGCAGCAAAATATGGAGATGGAAGCAGTAATCACCGGACTACACAAACCAACAGCCACACTAAGCCTCCAACAACCCCAAAGTTGCTGTATGGAGGGACACTCTGTGTTTGCGAGCCTGCTCGCTGGCCCGTGTCATTGGTCACAGTCTGGTGTGTAGCCAGGAAGGGTCGGCTGATTTAGGGTGGCATGAATGGGTGTGGTTGGAGCAGCGTGTGTCTGGGAAATAATACTCTCCAAGTTCTTAAGCTTAGGAATCAAGGGAACAATGAAAGAGATTGAAACGGTAAGTAGATTCCATAGTCTACAGAGTGGAACCCTTGAGAGGTGAACATAGGGCCCATCTCATCCTGCTTGCTGGCCTGTAATCAACTGTGCCTTCATATTTTAAGACACATTATGTAATCTACCATGCCATTATTCTTTTTGGTGTCAGGGTTTCAAGTCTTCAAAGTTAAATGGATATACAAATCAAAGGCACTGTTCTAATACTGAACGGTAATTAGAATTGTGTAATTAAAATGTTACTAAGTCCCATGCATGCTGATTTGTATGAGATTTAAACATACAACTGTGCTTTATTTGCCCTGAAATTAGGTGTAAAGAGCACTTAGACCTGAGAATGGTAGCTCACACTTGTAATCCCAATGTGGGGAGACTGAGGCAGCAGAATCACCACAACTTTGAGGCCAGCCTGTGCTACAGAGTGAGACCCTATAGCACAGGCTGGCCTTGGATTCAAGTTCCTCCTACCTCAGCCTTCCACGTGCTGGGATTACAGGTGTTGACCACCACAAATAGCTAAGAGGACATTTTTTAAAGGTCACAAAACGCTTACTTTTTCTCACTTTTTACTTACAATGGACAACAGTTTTGGAGAGAAATTCTCTATAAGAGTCATAAAGAGAGGCTGGCAAGATGGCTCAGTGGGTAAGGGCACTTGTCACCAAGTCTGATGACCTGAGTTCAGGCCCCAGAACTTACATTGTGGAAGTAGAAAACCAAGTCCCCAAAGTTGTCCTTTGTCCTTCACATACGCACCACCGTGCACACAAACACAATCAATCAATTCATCCATGTTTAAAAAAAAAAAGTATTTTAGAAGAATCATGGAGAAGCAAGTGATCTTAGAAGATCTCCAGTTGAACCCTCCCATTGTACAATTAAGAAAGCTGAGCATCTCCTAACTTCTCACTCATGCCCAAACAATACTAATCAGGCATCCCATCAAATAAAGCAGATAAGAACCAAATTCTTGGGTCAAATCCTGGCTCTGCTGCTTGATCAGCTCTGTGGGCAAATTAGAAAATCTGTCTCCATTTTGCCTTGATTCCATTGTCCTTAACTAGGTGTAACAACAACAGCAAATAATACATAATAAATATAGTCATTGTTTAGCAAGGATTAAATGAGCTAATCCCTGCTGTCTTCCACATCCTATGTGTACCATGGAAATATTACTGCATTTCTCTTCCACAAATATCTCTAAAATATACTTTTGAGGGGAAATTCAGCCAATATTTTGTATGAAATTCTCAAGGAATTAATTATTTTTCAAAGAAGCAAAATCAGTAATAACTAGGCAGGTCCTCCATGTATTTGCCAAGTGCTGCCCATTCACACTAACCTCCATTCCTTTCTTTGTAGTAAGCTAGACCCTGGCCTGGGAAATGCCGCACTTGAAGAGAGAGCAGCTGGGCACCTGGCAGGGTCTTGATGATAGCTGTCTCTGAGGCATGTGAGCAACAGAAGACAGGCAGGGTGGTACATTCGTAAATGATTAAGAAACTATGTGAAGCCGGGCAGTGGTGGCGCACCCCTTTAATCCCAGCACTCGGGAGGCAGAGGCAGGCAGATCTCTGTGAGTTTGAGGCCGGTCTGGTCTCCAGAGTGAATTCCAAGACAGCCCAGGCTACACAGAGAAACCTTGTCTGGAAAAAAACGAGCAAACAGAAGAAACTATGTGTAAATGGGTAAAGCCCTAGGTCAGTCGCCTCGAATAGTGTTGTTCCTATTGGTTGAAGTCATCGGCCCTATTCTGTTCAATAATTTAAGCAGACCAATTGAGGACCTGCTTCTTAACTTTGCAGATAGAAGCAAAACAGATGCATGAGCCTTAAAAAAAAAAATCAAATCTGCCCGTGACACAGCTGACTACTGAAGTTCCTTATAAATCTGGTAGTTGAAAGACTTTTTGAACAATTTAGTAAGACTACCATTGTTCTAAGGTTGAATTATGGGACACTAAAAAGAATTTATGAAAGTAATCCCTCCATTGTGGCCTCTGTCTTTCCATGTCTGAGATGGACAAGCACCTCTTTGAACAGCTAAAAGGAGAGTTATGACATTGTGCCAAACAATAATGGCTCTAAATAACATAGTTGGAAAAAGAAGCGTGGAAAATATCATCTCCCTTAATTTCATCCAGATTTCTTATAAGTAAGTCATTCCAATAACCAGTTTCTTTTATATAGACAATGACTCGCTCTAGCCAGATAACAGAGTGCAGCTGTCTCGATGCCCTGCACCAGCATTGCTCAGAGGTGAAGTCCTTCCTCTCATGGGTTCTTTCCCCCGATGCCCCGGTGGACTGTGGTATCTGAATCAAGACTCCTCAGAACCCATTCTTATCACTTAGATAGCAGGAACACAGCTTTCATATTTGTTATTTCTGATGACCTGCTATGATGTCAAATGACCTGAATGAATTAGTTTTTTAATAAAAAAAAAAAGAGTCATGATTATATCTAGAGTTCATTGTGAGTGTACTGAAGGGAGTTTTATTTGGAAATGAAAATGCGCTCACTTTATGGCCTGCTGTGGGAGAAGAGTCAAGTGTGAAGCCTTGCATCTTTTCTCTTGTCCCTTTGAATACTTTTGCAATATCCTTGTTTCAATGCTCTAGAGTTACTAAATCTAAAACACTTGTCAAGCAGCCGTTAGAAATGGCTGGTGGTGCAGCCTCAAAACTGGCTCTCTACAAAGCAATGAAATTGCATCTACTGTGCTTCACACTATTTAGGGAAGTAGCCTGACTGCCTAGTTGGGTGAATATTAGCAAATGTAAGCTAGAATATTTCAGACTAAAATGTGGAACTGGCTGTTTTGACTCTTTAGTATATGTGATTCATGCTACATGTCAGTTTGTGGCTTTCTGAAATGGGATCCTTTAAATTTGAGACTGTATCAAACAAGAGAATGGATAGATGGCTTCAGGTTAGCTGCCAAGCACCACTTTTAATTCAGTCTGTTTATAATGAATTCATGATCATAGAGACCAAATGGTGGAAAACTCAAAGACATTTTCATTTTAGAAAATGTATTCTTCTGAATTAAAATTCAAATTGAGGGTGTCAGGATCAAAAGTAAGATCTTTTCAAACTCTATTTCTTTTTTCTTGATGAATAGAAATGTCCAACTAACTAGCACACTCTTGTGCCAATATCAACATCATACTTTGTTATATCAAAGTCTCACATCCCTCCAAAGCAGCTCTCACTCCCCTTAATTGTTTACTCCTCTGTAGAGAGCCTATGGCCAGCTGCATGGCTGCTTAGGCAGTCTTAACCCTCTCCCAGTCTGGGCTGAGTTCATTTTTGTCTTAGGAAATGGGAGACACAGTCTGGTCAGTTTAACAGTCTCATCCTCTGCAACTTAACACTAAACTTTACGATTCCCCCAGATTTTCCCTTGTCCTGGCTCTCTCCTTTCCTGGTGCTTTTCACCCTTTTATGTTGGTTGAGCTGCTCAGTCCTAAACCTGCTACTTAGCCGACAGAGACCGATACCGTTCGTCCAAAGAATGAGATGGCTGTGTCCAGGGTTAGCCACATGAATTGCCCCATGTTTTGAGACTCAATAAACAGGACCTTTTTTGCCCCTTGAACATTTTTTAGTTTTCAAAATATTTATCTGTGTTCTCAGATAGCTTGAGTTCCTTTAAACTTTTCAAACCTTGTTCTTTATGACTTAACATTTCAGGTGAGCATGCTTAGCTTTCCTGTTTTGCTGTGAAGTCTTCCTGAGCTTTAGGCGGTCATCACTGATTTTGTAGTTCTGGCACATTCTAAAACAAAGCACTGACTTAGAAGTTAGAAGGCAAGAGGGCAGACCCACTCTTCTCACTGCCTGGGGGCTGCTTCTTAACTTCCTCAGATCCCAGTAGCCTTATCTCTCAGCAGCCTGGGATCAGTAGTTCTCAAACTTGGTGATCATGGGGGCACTTGAATCATTTGGGAAGCTTTTAAGTGTGTGCACTCTGGGTGTGTGTGTGTGTGTGTGTGTGTGTGTGTGTGTGTGTGTGTGTGTGTGTATTTATGTGTATAGATGAACATGTGTGTACATGTTTGTCAGCCTGCTTGTCAGTCATGTCTGGACCTTCACTTAAATACACTGTATATGAGATGAGTTAAGGATTTGTATCTTGATACTTGTTACCTGTTTCCCTGGGTTACTCTAAACATGTACCAAGGGTGAGAGGTTTTAAGAACGCAGTTAACCTGGCTCTGACATTCTGGGATTACAATCTTGTCTTTCTAGATACAAAGCTTAAGCACATTTATTTTATATAGCTGCATACATTTTCAAGCTTCATAGTTGAAGGAGCAGCTAGGTGTTCACTTCTTCAAACTCTAGGGATCCCAGAAACTAAGGTCATGTGGCAAGTACTAACTGGCCTTATGGAGATCACTGAATGGCAAGTGTATTTGAAGCTCCCAGTGCAGAGTATTACAAGTGGAAAATGGCATGCCATACAAGATTTACTTTGAAATCTTTTAGATATAGTTTTAAAGCTTTTCTTAATATTTATTTTGTACAGGGCAGGGGGTGTGTTGCACCTGTGCCACAGCGGACATGTGGAGCTTAGAAAACAGCTTGAAGAGTTGGTTCTCTCCTTCCACCATATGGGTTCCGGGCATCAAATTCTGAAATTACAAGTGCAAACCACAGGGAGAGGCATGCTAATCCTGTGTACTATGCAGAGAGGCACAAGGAGAAGCATGCTCATTCTGTGTACTATGCAGAGAGGCACAGGGAGAAGCATGCTAATCCTGTGTACTAGGCAGAGAAGCACAGAGAGAAGCATTCTAATCTTGTGTACTAGGCAGAGAGGCACAGGGAGAAGCATGCTAATCCTGTGTACTATGCAGAGAAGCACAGAGAAAAGCATGCTAATCTTGTGTACTAGGCAGAGAGGCACAGGGAGAAGCATGCTAATCCCGTGTACTATGCAGAGAAGCACAGAGAGAAGCATGCTAATCCTGTGTACTAGGCAGAGAGGCACAGGGAGAAGCATGCTAATCCCATGTGCTAGGCAGAGGCACAGGGGGAAGGCTTCCCAAATGGCCCACACAGAGACTGTAAACCCTTGGTAAATAGTATCTCACAAGTCTAGCATGGCTCCTTAGTCATCAGAATTGTCATGGTTGTATGCGCGCCCTCCTTGACACTCATCACTCTTTTGGTGGTGCTCCTGATTGGAAAGGTTTCACTCACCTGTGGGGGAAATTGGAATTAGACACAATTGGATATACACCTTACAGGCTGTTCCTCAGGGCAGCCCTAGCAAATTCTCTTTTGAAAGGAAGTAAGAATGGAGATAAAGGCAGGTGGTGGGCATCAGGTACAGTGGTGATTTCAGTTAGACATAGTGCCTACTCTGGACCTTGGATCTGGAGTGAGAAACCACTTAGTGGGTAGTAACCTAAAACATTCAGGACACCTGGATAATGATGCCTTCAAGAACAGTGTTGGTTCACCTCTTACACCACATCTGTTTTCCAGAGCCCCTCCCTTCCTGGCAGCAAGAGAATGTGGACTCTGACGAAGCCCGCCTCTCCCCACAGGCTGGGCGCCTGATTCACCAGCTTCTGGATGAGGACAGCGACCCCATGCTGTCCCCCAGGTTCTATGCCTATGGGCAGAGCAGGCAGTACCTGGATGACACAGAAGTACCTCCATCTCCGCCAAATTCCCATTCTTTCATGAGGTATGTTCAATGCTGTTGATCAGCAGCTCCAGCAGTCACATGACATTGGAACCGAGGGAATGGCTCGCCCACTGACGGCTAGCCCTTTTGTAAAACTTAAGTTGGGAATCTGTGCAAAGACACACCTCTATCCTAGTACACGAGCTGTGTTGGAGTTTCCGCTTGAGCTATGGCCCAACTGCAGATCTCATTTTGAATTCCAGTTAGCGACTCCTTTCTAAAGCTCTGTCAAATTTAACATTCAGTCTTACAGTCAATTTCACATTGTTCCGATAATGTTAAGTGGAAGTGAGAGAAACACAGACCTAATTCATAGGTGGCATATGCAGAACTCCAACTCAGAAAATACACCCATCCACTTGGTTTTATCAAAAGGGAGAAGATGTTTTCATTTCTCTGTGCTATATTCTCTCATACCCCAAAGCCCCGTCCCATAATTTACTGGTTCTTCACGGGGCTGCTAACCCAGACCATGTTCTTTACAGGCGGAGAAGCTCTTCCCTTGGGTCCTACGATGATGAGCAAGAGGACTTGACACCTGTGCAGCTCACCCGAAGGATCCAGACCCTTAAAAAGAAGATCCGCAAGTTTGAGGACAGGTTTGAAGAGGAGAGGAAGTACAGAGTGAGTTCTCGGTGGGGTCGCCTCACCCCAACACACCCTTCAGCATGTAGAGCAGTGGCTCTCAACCTGTGGGTCATGACCCCCTTGGAGGTCACATATCAAATATCCCGCATAATCAGAGATTTACATTACGAATCATAACAGTAGCAAAATTACAGTTATGAAGTAGCAATGAAATAATTTGATGGTTGGGGTCACCATACATGTATTAAAGAGTCACAGTATTAGGAAAGTTGAGAACCACTGATGCAGAGGATACCAGAAGCTGATAAAAAAAGGGAATTTTTTTTGTTGAGCTGAAATTTGATTCAAGATTGTCTTCTACCGTTTCCTCCTTGCGGGCTCCCTCCACTGTTGGTTCTGTCTTAGTTTCCCAAGCCAGGGACAAGAGAGGATTGTTCAGAGGGGTTGCAGTGTAAGCCCACAAACTCCTTCACTTTCTTCTCCATCAGCCTCATGAGCTGAAACATACCAATAGTAGAAAAGGAGATATGGACCTCACAGGAGTCCGTGATCATAAAGGTCCATTATTTCGCCCTTAAGGAAGTCTGTGGGAGTATCAGAAATAAGCAATAAAATATTTACTCTAGACTTTCTTTTCCCAGCCCTCCCACAGTGATAAAGCAGCCAACCCAGAGGTTCTGAAGTGGACAAATGACTTGGCCAAATTCCGGAAACAGCTTAAAGGTAAGTGAAGTTGTGGACCCACTGGCATAGTCTGATATGCAACTAACCAGGAGCCAAATCCCGTGGGTCCTTCCAAGTGCCATCATTGGGGTGCCCCAGGCCTGAAGACACTTCCCAGTTCTCCCAGGTCTTTATGGGACACCATCCCAACACTTTGTATAGCCTCACATCAAACCAGACCAGATAAGATATGAGTTCCTCAACCTGTCTTCATTTCCACACACTTTTCCTAGAAGGATGGTTTCACATCAATACTTCCAAAGCAGCAGTTTAATCTAAAGGTGCACTTGCTGGAGTGTTAGAAAGCATCTCATCAGAGATGAATCTGTGAGAAGAGTGAGGGCCCTTCCCCTCAGACAGCTTGCTGTATTTAGGGGCTGGTCACAGAAACAACCAAATGGAGTAAATAAAACGGGGTATGTAGGTTGGATGAAAAACAACAGTCAGTGTCTGGTTTTAGATCAGCACATCTATATGCACTAAGAGAATGCATTGAAACTGCCCCTTTCTGAACTCAGAGCCCAAGCCCATGTAGCCAAAAATCAGGTGCTAAAAGCTAACACTTTCCTAGGAATTAGAGTTTGGGAAACATCTCTGAAGATCCAGGAAGAGCCTATTAGTTTGGTTTGTGTAATGATCCAGGGATTTTCTCTTACACTGTAATTCAATACTCTGTGAAAAGAAGTCATAGCTAAGCAGTTATTGACATGGCAGTTAAAGCAGTCTGGGTCCGGCCAACCTCAGCCTCATGGATCTCTGTTTCCAAATCTAATTGCCTAGAGTCGAAACTAAAGATCTCTGAAGAGGACCTCACCCCCAGGACACGACAACGAAGCAACACACTCCCCAAGAGCTTTGGTTCCCAGCTAGAAAAGGAAGATGAGAAGAAGCAAGAACTGGTGGATAAAGCCATCAGGCCCAGCGTGGAAGCTACACTGGAATGCATACAGAGGAAGCTCCAAGAGAAGCGAGAGGAGTCTAGCCGTCCTGAGGACATTAAGGTAGGATGCTGTTAGGGAGCCTGGGGGAACGCCCATCCTAAGTCAGTGCAGCCAGCATTGTGAGAACACGGGCCATGCAGATGGCTGTTGATATCTTTACCACACTTACCTCCTGCTCAGCTCGCTTCCCAGCCAGGAGTTCCTTTCCTCTGCTGTCTCCTGGTATGACAAGCCCAGTGAATGGGGGAAGAGGACAAGGGACAGGGCATGTCACATGAATCCCAACAAGCACAATGATACCTTTTAAAAGCTGGAGTGTTTCACCCGTAGGTACTTTGGTTTCTGACTACCGACTGAAAGCAGATTGCTCTTTTGACTCCACAGCAGAATGAACTTATTGAGGCTAATAGATGGCTTGACTCTCTGAGGGGAGGGATTATATGCAAATCTTTAAGAGCATGTAGCCGATAACTGCAGCTATTGCTGGACCCATTTAAGTCGGTCCATGTCTTCAGTGGGTCTTTCCTGCCATGTGGGTGTTCCAGGTAGCTGGTGACAATGGTGCTGTGCACTCTATGTTTCTGGTGGGAGGTCACGAGGTTCTCTCATCCCCATGTGAGCTTTGGGCAGAGCATTTTAACCCTTCCTTTAGATGAGCTTGACAAAATAAAGAAGGTGGGATGCGCTCAAATGTGCTTCCCATGTTTTATTTCTTACCACTGTGTTTACACAGGATATGACCAAGGACCAAATTGCCAATGAGAAAGTGGCCCTGCAGAAAGCGCTTCTATACTATGAAAGCATCCACGGGAGGCCGGTATGTGATGTACCAAACCTTCTCATGAGGGTCGGTTGTCTGGTTTAGGAAAGTTTCTACAATGTAGTGCCATCCAGGAAATAGGGCCTTCAAAAGTATTAGACCTTGAACTTAATTGAATCCCAACAAACATGAGTCTGCAAGTAAACTTAAGTTGCTAATATTCTATTGAAAGGGAAGAGAGGTAAAGGATGGAAGGGAGCGTATAGAGTGCATAAAATTCTGAAAGAAAGTGACCTCCTGCCCAAGTCAGCCCTATAAGCTGCAGGTGACTCTAAGCTTCCACAGCCATATTATAAAGGGATTAAGCTTGAACATCTGTCATAAAACTGTTACTCTGCGCTGCAGGGCACAGCCAGCATTTCTAAAGGATTCCTGTCGGTGTGTAGAACCCCAAGTGTGAAGTCCGTAATGTAGTTTTGCCTTTTTATCATATCAGGAAGCATCTGAGGTGGCTTGGCATTTAGCAAGCGTATGTTGGGTGGTTCTTGCTAGCTCTAGGGAAGCCAGTAGTGAGGCAGGCTTCTGCTCTCTTCCTTGGGAGACTTAGATATTCTTGTTGTCTATTACTTTTCATAATCTTCTTTTCAGACAGTTGACAAGAAATGCCGGGGTGTGGTGGCACATGCCTTCAATCCCAGCACTCAGGAGGCAGAGGCAGGTGGATCTCTGTGAGTTTGAGGCCAGCCTGGTCTGCAGAGTGAGTTCCAGGACAGCCAGGGCTACACAGAGAAAACCTGTCTCAAAAAACAAAAAAACAAAAAAAATCAAAGAAAAAAAAATGCAACAGCAACAGCAGTTCCCCCAGGCAGGATGAGGAAGCATGAAGTTTAGATTCATGGATTTTCACAAAACCCCCAAATACAGGACTCTTCCTCCACTCTATCATAACTACTAATTTAATGAATTAATGGAATTAATTTAATCTTTTCTTCTAAATGATACTCTCTTTTCAGTGCAGAAGCTTCCAGAATGATATATTAAGCTCCTTTTTAAACAAGGCACAGTATTAGACCAGGTTCTTCAGGGGCTAGGCAAACCCTCTACCCCAGAACTATCCCTCCAGTCATGGGTTGGGGTGAGGGAGGTGAGGATTCTGGGTGTTGTTTACCTAATAGTGAACCTAATCCTCAGTGACTGGCACAAAACTTGTCACACAGTGTAAGCCCAGGGACTATCCACAGAAGGCATCCAGGTGTTCTCCATTGCATTTTAGTTCTCAACAGATCAGGTTTTTGTTGTTTGTTTCGTTTTATTTTGTTTTAATGCTGGCACCAGTGCTGATTCATTTTGCTGGACTGTTCCGGCAGTGGAAAAATACTAGAACTCTGGGATAATGTTCATGGTTCAGCCAAGTTTGGCTTTAGATTTTTTTTTTTTTATTTGAAGGCACTGAACCAAATAGTAAGTGCTCCAGAGTTCAAAGATTGTGAAATGTTGTCCTTCTGTCCTGGAATATTCAGGACCATGAGAAGCAGAATTGAACTGTTGTGAGCAGAGAAGAGAGCCCCTTTGCCACGGCAGCTCAAAATCCCGAGTGTGGAACTTGTGGCCACTAGAGGGCTTCTGTGACACTGTTTTCCCTTTGCATACTTCTTTCCCTTGCATGGATTCTAGCTGGAATATTGACAGTCCGTCAAAAGCTTCCTGGCCGGGGTCTCCCGCCTGAGAGAGCACACAGCTGCATTCTAAGAGGATCAACCCTCATTGTTGCTTCACTGGTTTGTGTGGTGGAGGGATTTTTGTTGTTGCTGCTGCGGCTGCTGCTGTTGTTTTTGTTTTTTCACGGCTTTCAGCTGGGAAGATTTTCATTCTATCTGTATCTCATTCCACAGTGCAGACACCATGAGCCTCAGAATTGTAGGAATTCTGCTTGGCAGAGACCTCGTGCTACTTAAGTAACCACCTGAACTCTTGGTATTTGGTTGATAGAGATCTGTGATGGGTTGTCATGGCAGGAAAAAGAGACACACAGAGACATTTATACATATATTGACCTGTAAGCTCAAAACAGAGGATGTGAAATAGCAGCTTTGGGACTGCATAGTAAATGACAGTTCTCACTGCTGCTACAGTCATGTGTTCTGCTCTCTCCTGCCCTTGACATTAGATGACCAGTGGGGTGAAGAGGGTACTCTTCTTACCTGCCTGTTATTAAGAATACAAAGTTTTAGATAGATCAAGATTCAAGCATCTCACAAGGTAGAGAACAAATTGCAGAACAAATATTAATGTCATTTATCTCTGTTCCCAAGTCTCTCTGCCTCTCTCTGGGTCACAAAGCTCTAACCTCCTCAGAAAAAAAAAAAGCAAACTTGCCTTGATATTTGGCCAATCTGAAAATCAAAGTAAATTTTTATTTCTTAGATTTCTGCTATAGTTAAACCCTAAACATAAACACAACTACACAAACATTTCCGATGCTAAGCTGTCATTCCAAGTTCCTTTATCTCATAAAATAGACTCAGAACTCGTGAGTTTTTTTTTTTTTTTTCTAAGTCTGCAGATTCCAATTTAACAGGCCATTGACCATCAGGATCATAGCCAAACAGTCACATGCTACGCAGCTCTCAGCAAAGCTGTTTGCTTTAACTGAGCACACTGTAGATGGACATGTGTGGCATACAAAAACAAGTGGGCTTATCATTCTGTGTGCGCTATTATTGAAGTGTGTCCTTTTCAACAAGAGTGTTGGAAGTCTTCAAAAAAACGATGTCACAGAAAAAATAAACAAATAATTGAAGCCCCCTCCCCCATATCACCATTCATAATCAATGTGCAGGGGGAGAGAATAGGTTGCTTGACCAGTGCTTCCGGTTTCTTCCTAATTCTTTCCCTCACTGGTATATTTTAACTCTGTGTTTCTTTTTTTTTGGGGGGGGGAGGGGTGTTGAGACAGGGTTTCTCTGTGTAGCTTTGTGCCTTTCCTGGATCTCGCTCTGTAGACCAGGCTAGCCTCAAACTCACAGAGATCTGCTTGCCTCTGCCTCCCGAGTGCTGGGATTAAAGGCGTGTGCCACCACCGCCCAGCCTTTAACTCTGTGTTTCAAAACCATGTTGACTAACACAGTACTGAGTATAGCCAAGTTAACGTTTAAATTATGAGTCCATACATGAAGAGTAGCCTCTGGTTAGCCGTTGTTTTAGATTTTCTGGTCTTTACACAAACATCCTACCATTCTTAACTTACAAAAGAGTTGCCATTTTCTAAATTATTGGGCCCAGAGTGCAGCCGTTAGAAGAGCCCATGATCACACTGCTAGCTCCTGCTTCGTTCAGGGCTGATGTATTTGTGAATAGAGAGAAACCTGGGCTGGGAGTCAGTACATCCGGTTCTCACTTAAGCTCTGTTGCCTTGGGGAATCATTACTCTTTGCAGTGCTCAGTTTTAGCCTCTAAAGAACAAGGTTTGTCTAGCTCTAAGATTCTATGGCTCTAATTTTATCTTTATCATGAAAGTAAATAGGTCACTTGTTTTGCCATTCACCTTTACATCCACGTAACATCAGCTAAATGTTGTAGAAAAGTTTTGTTTGAGGATAAGAGAAAACCATCATAATGTAAAAGCAGGCACATTGGGCTGTCCAAGCTTTATGATTTCTAGCCAGGATTTGCCTGGTTAAATGTGAATAGTTATTGGGTAAGTGTCCCCTTTAGGTTTTAAAATAGTGTCTGACTCTTGCAGAGTAATCAAAATCAGGGTAGTAAGTGAGTAGGGCTGTTTCTATGTCACTCTGAAGACAGAATGGAAATGCTGCTGCATCCCTGATCTTCTTGTCTCATGTTTATTGTTTGTTTGTTTGTTTGTTTTGTTTTAAGATAGAGTCTCACTATGCAGACCTGGAACTTGCTATGTAGACTAGGCTGGTCTTGAACACACAGAAATCCACCTGCCTCTGCCTCCTGAGTTCTAGAATTAAAGGCATGTGCCACCACACTGGCTAATGTTGTTTTGCTTTGTCATATGAAATACATCTTAATAAGAACTCAGTTTCCACACGTTGCAAAGCCATCCACTACTACTACTTAAATGTAAACTAAGGCTTTGTAAGAGGGGAGAAAGAATTTTGAAGAGATAGCATATACATGTTTGGCCTAAAGTAATTTTCAAGTAATTTTGAGTCATCAAGTATTTTCTGAACTGACCTCTCAAGTTTACCATCAGAACGTGGTGCACAGAGAATTCTCGTGGCCAGTATGGTTGGTATAAGCTGAGGAGTGTGATGAACAAGCCATAACTTCACCCATGTGCCAAATGGCTCTCCAGAATGTGCTGCCCTTGCCTGCCGACACAGCTCGAGTATTAGCCACTATACTAGGTGTGCAGTAGCAGCAGTGGGTCTGCTATTTCCTATGAAATGACTTCCGAGTCGCTTTGCTGCCCTGACAGTCATTTTTAATGAAGTGACTGATTTTAAAATCCCATTTCATATGGCACATACTAGAAGCAGAAGCATGTCAACAACTCTTAAAATTGTGATAAAGAGGTGAAAGGAGATTATTATTATTATTATTATTATTATTATTATTATTATTATTGCCAACAGCAGGAAATCCACAAAGTTTTGCAGTGCCCTGTTAGCTGGTGAAATTTATCCAAAATGATTTACTATTGATCATGTTGAGAAAGGCAGATACAAAAGCCACACAGGACACCATATTTACATAATCCAGAACCATCTTTGAAGCTGAATCTTCCAAAGACTGGAAGAAATGGTAAAGCTCCATACCTTATGTCATTCCCTACCTGAGAAATTCTTGCTTTCTCAGACATGGAATAGTAATAGAATGCAGAAGCCCAGCAACCAAATCTAAAAATATACTTTACCTCATTGTGCATTGAGGTACCAAAGGAAATACATGCATACCTATGTGTTAGGCATACCTAGATAGGTTTGAAATATTCATTCACTAAAATTGCAGGCATGTATAGAATGTTTCCATTGGATTAGGTGCTAAAATACCTACTCCGGATATGAAAACATAAGCCCTCACATCCAACAAGCTATACTGTAAACCAGGAGATACATGTATGAAAAATTATGATAGAATGTGAAAGTGAACTGGGCGTGGTGGCGCACGCCTTTAATCCCAGCATTTAGGAGGCAGAGGTAAGTATATCTTTGTAAGTTGGAGGCCAGTCTAGTTTACAAAATGAGTTCCAGCACAGCCAAGGCTGTTACACAGAGAAACCCTGTCTTGACAAAAACAAAACAAAACAAAAATGTAAAAGGGTTTGAAATTACAAGGCATTGCAAGTATGGGGTATGCTGTCTTAGTTGGGATTTCTATTGCTGTGATAAACACCAGGACCAAAAGCAACTAAGGAAGGAAAGGGTTTATTTCATCTTACAGCTTATAGTCTACCATGAAGGGAAGTCAGGACAGGAACTCAAACAGGGCAGGAACCTAGAGGCAGGAGCTGATGCAGAGGCCATGGAGGAATGCCGCTTACTGACTTGTTCATCCTGGCTTGCTCAGTAGCTTTTTTTTTTTATAGCACCAGGGACCACCTGCCTAGGGGTGGTGTTGCCCACAATGAGTTGGCCCTCCCCCATCAATCATCAGTCAAAAAAATGCACCACAGGCCGATCTGGGGAGGGCATTTTCTTAACTGAGGTTCTCTCTTCGAAAACAGCTGTGGTTTGGGTTAAGCTGATGTAAGAGTAGCCAGCACAAATGGTGATGTGGAGGAAAGGATCATCCTTTCGGGATGGGGCACAAGGAAAGAGGGCTGCGCCAAGCTGGCTTCTGATCTGCAACTTCCAAATAAAGAACAGAGAAATCCCCTTGCTTGCAGCGGGAATCACAGAATTAGGCATAAGATAACCTAGTCTATTCCCGGAGTCTGAAGTACAGTGGGGAAGGGAGAAGTCATAAATGAGGAAGGGTTTCAAATCCTACACAAGGGAACGGGACTGGATTCTGTCTTGCTGCATAGAGATTTTGAGCAGGGTGCCAGATAAAGAGAATGAGGATGAATCACCCAGTGGATTCCAGCAACGAAAGTTCCTTGAATGCTCTCTGTCTGCCAGAATCGTACTTTTAGGAGGGAACAGTTTCACATGGAAGAAATGAACTCAAATAAGTTGACTAAAGTAACATGTGGTTATAATTATAGTAGAAACACTTGCCTTCTTCCTTGCACCCTCCAGATAAAACACCATTTGGAAATTTTGAATCTTGAGTTCTAGATGTCAAGTTCAGGTCATCCGGCTTCGAAAATATGCAACTTTACATGCTGAGTCATCGCACATCATGGCCCCTTAAGGAGTTTTTTTGTTTTGTTTTTGTTTTGTTTTGGGGGGGGGTTAAATTTTATTTACTTATTTTTATGTGTATGGGTAATTTGCCTTCATGTATGTTTGTACACCATGTACATGCATACCTGGAGCCCACAGAGGCCGGAAGAGGGCGTTGGATCCCCTGGAACTGGTTACAGATGATTGTGAACTGCTGTATGAGTGCTGGGAATTGTACCTAGGTCCTCTGGAAAAGCAGTTAGCGCTTTTAACCCCTGAGCCATCTCTCCAGCCACCTGCCTTGTTTTTAAATGACCACAGTGACTAAGAATGTACCCCGTTATTCAGATCTAGAAGAAGGTGCCCTAGTGGCGTAGTTTCCGCTGATCAGCAGTGTAAATCTGTTGTATTTTTATTTGTTGACTAAATATTATTATCAGTTTAAATACATTTTGTAAATTGTAGCATCTTTGGGCCACAAAAGTCCAGAGCATGCTGGGACAAGGGAGAGCATGACCTGGGAGCTGGCTTCTCACGTGTCCTGGTCTTGCTTTTCAGGTGACAAAGACTGAGCGTCAGATTATGAAGCCTCTGTATGATAGGTACCGACTGGTCAAACAGATCCTGTCCCGGGCCAGCACTGTCCCCATCATTGTGAGTGCGTCCTTTCTCTTTCTGTTGGCAGCCCCTAAGAGCACCTGATTTGGTTAGGTTTCAGCTACTGCTGTGAGGAACACATGACCAGGAAAGCGACTTGGGGAAGAAAAGGCTTGTTCTGGTTTATAGTCTGTCATGAAGGAAAGTCAGGGAAGGGACTCAAGGAAGGAACCTGGAGGTGGTCATTGATACAGAGGCCATGGTGGAACATTGCTCATTGGCTTGTTTTCCACGGCTTACTCAGCCTGCTTTCTTATACAACTCAGGACCACCTGCCTAGGGGTAGCCCTTCCCATAGTGGGCTGGGCTCTCCCACATCAGTCAGAAAATGCCTCACAGATATGCTCCAGGCCAATCCAATGGGGGCATTTTCTCAACTGAAGCTCCCTCCTCTCAGGTGACCCTAGCTTGCACCAAATTGACAAAAACTAACCAACACAGGGCCGTAGCCATACTATCACTGTGAGTGTAACCCTCCCTTTCTATTGGAGGAACCCCACCTATGCATACAGAATCCTAACTGCCATTCTCATTAAAGGTCAAGCTGTAGTAGTTGAACTATCCATTTATATCCATGTCTTACCCCCTGAGGAATGACTTGATCATATACACATTCCTCTGGCACTCACAGGGCCAACACCTAAACCCATTCCTTAGAGACAGCATAAGAGGTAGGGATGGACCTTCTCCAGGCTTTTCATCCCAAAGAGCACCTCTCTGGTTTCTGTCTGTTATAGTCTCTCCCCATTCACTGAGGGACCACTCCCTAAGAACTTCACCCAAGGAAGACCATCTAAAGAGCTCCAATGAGAAGGTCCTTGTTTTGTAGGTGATGGGGGTAGAGAGGGGGTGGAAGGAGAGAGCAGGAGTCTAGTGCTTGGGAAGCTGCCTACCATGGCCAGCATCCTGAGATATAACTGCTGTTAGCACCTGGATTTGATCTTGTCAAGGGGAAACAGTAGCTCGTGTCTGGCTGTGGGAAGTATTTTAACACTGACAGACTTTCCTTAGCCAGCCTGAGAATTCCCTCCACAGGTTAGATATTGTTGAGATGTTAGTGTCTGTCCATCTCTTAGAGAAGCATTGCCTGATTCAGTACCCTTGTCTGCTGACACAGGGCCCTTGGGTTGATAGCACTCCTAAAAGACTTACTCTCTGTAGCCGCTACTATTATCTAGCGCTTCGTTTAGTCTTCTTATTCATTTCTTTGTTTCTAGGCCTAGAGTATGCGCTCATATTTCTTTTAGTAGGGCACTTGTTTTTATGAGTGAGAGACAATCCAGAGACTCTAGGCAGGTGTGATTAAAAAAAATGTTACCTTTCTGCAAATTTCCTGCTGAATAAACTAATAAATAAAATGACTTAATGTAAATTGAGTCATTGTCTCTCACCAGTTAAGAACACCTAGGGTTCCTAAATAGGGTGAATGTACAACAGAGAAGTCCAACAGCCTTCACATGGTTGTTTGGCCTTGAACTACTCTCCTTACTAATGACAGTTAGTTGGCTGGGGCTAGGGAGGAGGGTGTGGGGGTGAGTGCTTTTCTTGGGGGAGTCCTGAGAGTTGGGTTTGAAAAGCATGTGCATTCTTACTCTACTGTGTCCTGATTTGTGTGTGTAGACTCTGAAGAGAGGATCCCCTTGAAAAAGAGCTTTGAGTGTATTAGTTTTGGGGGGGAGGCTTTTGGTGGGAAATGGTTATTAAATGTAGTTAAAATACAGTGGTGAATACTGGTGTGGTCAAACGGTCTGAGCTATAAGGTGAGGAAAAGCGGTTCATAATATAACCTATCTGTTAACTTGTCACAGGGGTCCCCTTCCAGCAAACGGAGAAGCCCTTTGCTGCAGCCAATTATCGAGGGTGAAACTGCTTCCTTCTTCAAGGAGAGAAAGGTGAAGAGCTTGGTGCTAACACTACCCTGCTAACCTCACCTGGAGGGACAGTCCTTGGGCAGTGGGTCTAGTAGCATTCCCTATAAGTCAGTAGCTACCCGAGCCAGCTGTGAACATTTATGACCTACTTCCCAAAGTTTTCTTCCAGTCTCCTCTTTGTTAACTTGTTCTGTTTTGCTTTTGCTTCGATCACAGAGACTGTTTTGTTCCTCACTTTGTTTTTCAAACTCATGATTACTTCTTAGGAGCTATTTAGGGCCAAAGAGGAAAATTAAGCCCAAAGCAGAAGTGAGTTTTAAGAGGCCCGCCTGTCATAGTTTTGTGACAGTCTAAGGTGAGAGTGGTCATTTATTTCCTGTAGTTAGGGATGATTATCTCAAAATCATCTATTGAGGGTGATCAATTGAAAGCTTCATTTCCTTGCCTGAACTAAGGTAACCCACACTACAATACCTAATTTTAATGTATTAGACAGACGGTGCTTGATAATCACATCACTAAATAGAACCTGAATTATGGGTGCGGTACTGGAACATCGGGGCTAGTGTGCTATAGTCTATCTTTAAAATTACAGCTATTTTCTCACAATACGCTTTGCTGTCAATGAAAGGCAATGTGCTTTGTCCATTGTAGTTTTTACCGATGAGCTGAATCTTGGTAATTGAGCAAATTTGGATAGTTTGTATATGAAAATTAGCATGCTTCTTTCAGCAGCTTATAATGGACTTATTACCGGGTAAAAACATGCTCTTGAATACATGCAAGATGTGACACTTAATGATTGCCTCATTAAATAAATAGTAGGTATCCTAATGATGCTCCTCCTGGACAATGACACTCTGCTCATTCTTATTCTTTAGCGAAAACTTTTCAGAAGACTATTGGCTGCAGCCTACTGCCCACTGGCTCACACCAGGACCACAATTACAAGCAATTTTGCAATGGTGACCTTGCTTTTGTAAATCCTGCCGTCTTTTGGTTCATTTTTTTCTTCTAATCAGGCACAGTCATTTACATGTTCTTGATAACACATAGTAGTTCTAATACAATTTACAATTTAGTGTGTTTGAAGATAAAAAAAAAAAAAAAAGACCAAATCTAAATGGTGTCTTTAAAACTTATCCCCAGTTATACTTACTTTTTTTTTTTTTTGGAAGAAACTAACTTGTATGAAACAGAGCCAACTCAAGTTCTGAAGGTTCTGAAGGCTTTCAGCCCACAATAAGCCCAGAGAATTTTCCTGTCCACTCCAGAAACCCACTAAAACATGATGGAATGGGATTCTGTTTTCAAGACAGACACTTTCAGAGCAGTGGGAGGATGAGGCTGGGTATTACATGAGCTGAGTAACCAAAGTGGCTAACAGTTTACTCGTTTTCTAACCAGCTTTAATGACAAAATAGAATACAGTTATATAACATGTAATTTTAGAATGTGTTATTTTGATCAGTGTAAAATAATCACAGTGAAAACTGATGTTTTTGTAGCTAGGATAGCTCATTACATTCTACACACACACTTAGCTTGTCCCCCGCCCCCTTTCTGCTGGAAGGTCGGGGAAGACACATATGGCTTCTTCTCTTTATAGCTCTTCACACGTTTCCAGTCATATGCCATTTCCTCCCACCCTACTCCTTGCCTTAGAAACCTTTTTTCCAAGCTCTTACTACTCCTCGTGGAATGTGGGTTTCAGGTCCTTCAGCAGCCACTGGCTCTGCTATAAACACATAGGTCAGGTTATTTGTGTTTCCCCAGAGCTAGTTTTATCCTAGCTATGTTTTAGACAGGACAGTAGACCGAGAGCCAGGCCTTACTTTGCCTGATGGCAGAGGCCCTTTCAATTCTCCAAATCCTGTCTCTTGTGGACATCCACTGGTCAAATTCTCAGCATTGGATCAGGATAACTGCTGTGGGATGTTTCCTAGCACTCCTGGTCTCCACCCACAAGTTACTACCATCCCCTCTCTAGTTGTGACAGCCAAAAATGACACTAGATATTGCAAATACCTAGGGTATATAATCACACCATTGAGACTTACTGTCCATGACCTACCTCTTTGTGATTCCCATTGTGCTCAGGGATTGTGTGATCCCATGATGCTTATCTGTGGATTTCTGATTGGCTATGTATCCAGGTTTTTTTTTTTCCTTTTCCTACTTTTTCCTACTTACAGGACCTTGAACTTTCCAGCTGCTTTTTATACTGTTATCAAGCTGGATGAAGTAAACTACATATAGATTCTGTATTCTAGCAAACTAGATATCCCTGTCCACTCTGTCATTGATGCATGTGGGTATTGCGCCCTTTATATCGTCATCTACGTACCTAATTATTGTTGACTAGTGGTTTCAGGCAACGAGCCCACTATGGACTCTGTCCTTCAGGTTCGTGTCACCATTGTAGCGTCTTGGCTGAAACTCCAGTAGCCACCTTTCGTTTGGATGGATCTGTGTACCCTGTTCTTTATCTAAATCCAGATATCACATCAGTCCTATCAAACAAGGACAACTGCTTTAAAGGAGTCCGTGCTGGGAGACTGACCACTGCCTCTTTCCCAAATATGCATTGTTTGGGTGCTATACTAAGTATCTACCACGTACGAGCTAATTTGGACAGGTTTTTATTTTTTTTTTTGTAAGTCATTTTCCCCATGGTTTTCCAAGGCCACTGAGAGTAGTTCTGTTAGGTTCATCCGGAAAAATATCAGAGTGCTTCAAATCCTCTCCAGACTTTACGATATAATTGGGAGGACTTTCGAGATTTTTATTTACTTTTATTTGATGTATATGAGTGTTTACCTGAATGTTTGGCTGTGCACCGTGTGTGTGTGTGTGTGTGTGTGTGTGTGTGTGTGTGTGTGTGTGTGTGTGTGTGTGTAGTGTCTTTGGAGGCCACAAGAAGGTATAGGATCTCCTGTGGCTGAAGTTACAGACTACAGACAGTTGTGAGCTGAGATATGGGTGCTAGGAATTGAACCTGAGTCCTCTGGAAAAGCCACCAGTGCTCTTGACCACAGTGCCATCTCTCCAGCCCATTAGTAGAGCTTCTGAGAAATAAAATCTTACATTCTTATTTGTTGCTTTCCTTGGTATCCCTTTCCAGCTATAAAATGCTTGTTCACAGCTTTCTTTGCAATCTGAATTGATAGACAGTTCACCAGACATGTGTTCTACACAGTTTTTGGTCAAGCTCCGAAGCAGCAGTATATAGGCCTGAGCTCTGCCTGAGCTCTTGGGTCCGTTCTCCTTCATCTTCCTCATGCAGGGGAGGTAGAGGAGGAGAGGGAGGCTGACAGATGTTGTCTGCCAGCTGTGCTTCACCAGGTTCCGGAAATATGCTGCCTCAGTTAAGTTTTGTAAAAATGGCATAGGTGGGAACTGTTCCTTCTACTTCCAAAAAAAAAAAAAGGAACTTTAAAACTGTTTACTTAAAAATCAAGTTTTTGTCTGAAGTTTTAAAATAATTTAAATTGAAAAGAATACTGAAGCATTGTTTCTTTGGGCCAGGCAGAGATTAAAGACATAAAGCACAGCTGAAGCAGGAAGTGCCTCCTGGCTTCATCCAGCTGTGCTTCCACACTTAGTCTTGGGGCCGCCGTTTTAATAAAACAGAGGAGAAACGATGTGAATCTGGTTAGCTGGGTGATTTCTGAATGACACTTGTAATGGAAGCATACGCCAAAATATGCTCAGAGTTTCATTGAGATTGTGTCTCCAGGAACAAGAGGAGGGGTCAGAGGATGACAGCTCCACCAAGCCAGACTTCACAGTCCCTCTGAAGACAGACTGCAGTGCACACTGTTTCCTGGACCAACTTGAAGACGATGCTGATGGATTTATTTCACCAATGGATGACAAAATGCCATCAAAATGCAGCCAGGACTCAGGCCTTTCAAACCTCCACTCTGCTTCAATGTATGTTGTTTGGGCAGTGGCCTTGGAGTGGCTTAGTGCAAATAAGAATAGAAATGTTAGTTAGGCCAAAAGGCCACCGATGACTTCCTTAGGGTGTGTTTAAATGAAGAAGATAATGATTTAAAATAAAGAGATGGGCCTGGTGGCTAAAGAAGAAGAGTAGGTGAGCTTGAGGCAAGCCTGGGCTACAGAGTGAATTCCTGGTCAGCTCAGAGCTGCAGAGTACAACCTAATCTAGAAAGACAGAGGGGAGGGTCAGAGAGATGGAGGGAGGAAGGGGGAGAGAGAGAGAGAAGAGGAAGAGGAAGAGAGAAATAGAGAAGACAGGAGGAAGAAGGGAGAGAGAAAGAGGGAAGGAAAAAGCACACTGTATCAATTTATTTGTTTTCTCATGTATTTTATCCCAGATTATTTGAGGAAGTTTTGAGATCTTGCTTGAACAAACGGAAGATCTCTGAATGACAGTGTGGCTCTGTCCACCACAGCTCATCATCTAACACTGAGTACAGACATCACTTTGCTCTCTCTCAAAAAAAAAAAAAAAAATACATACATATATATATGACAAAGTGCTGTAGGGTTTCATAAAATCTAGTAATTCATGAGCGGCACGATCCCCTAAGAGCCCCTGGCGCCTCGCCTTCTTTCGGAATGTGGGCATTCAAGAGAAAGCACTGGCACTGACCTCTAAATCGCTTTGTTTTCTTTCTTCACAACTCCTGTCAAATCACACGCTCATTACATGTACAACAATTCATTTTTAATTTTTTTGAAATTCATGTTCCTTTTTAGACCTGAGCTCTTGGAATACCTTCAGGAAATGAGAGAAGAGAAGAAAATGATTCGAAAGAAACTTCATGATTTTGAGGACAACTTCTTCAGACAAAATGGGAGGTATGTGTGTGTCTCTCTGTCCCCCCCCCCCCCCCCCCCCCCCCGTTTCCCCATCACCTAGTCCACAATCCAGGCTCTCTGTTTCTGTCCCATCTGTGGAGTGCTTCCAAAGTGAGAACTTTACTATGTTCTCCCTGTAACAAGGTCCTCAGGTTTATGCCCAGGAACCCTCGGAGATTTTCAGTGAGTCCGTGAGATTTATGTGTAAAGTTAAGAAGAAATGTGTCTCATACAGAGTGCAGGACCTAGACAGCGTCTGCTGATATACAAAACCAGCCTGTCACATTTGGTTCTCAGCTAAAACAAGTAGCTTGGAGCTGAATTTCAAAATGGAAGCACTGAGTTTTTTTCCTCAGGAAACAAGAGGGTGAAAAATGATAATGGGGGATTCAACCACAGTTTAAAATCCAGAGTTGGACTGGGGATATGGCTCAGTTTGTGCACAGTCCTGGGTTCACTCAGGGGTGCTACAAAAGCTAAAAGAACCAAGATGACAGCTGCCAAGTCTGAATGAAACTTGTGTGTGAGAAGCAGTAGTGAATGTATCTGTCTGGTGAATGTGTTGTTTTATCCAGTGAGTTTTATGGTGTAATTGAATTGTCTCTTTATTAAATTTGCTGGGAAAGTGTGTGTGTGTGTCACAGAGTCCTCCTCACTTCACATTGGGAGCTCAGGGACAAGACCATGAGGAGATCTGTGTCTCTCTCCGTGGAGTTAGGTTTCACCATCTGAAATTGGTTTTACATTAATCCAAATTAGATAAACTGCATGTAGTTTCTTTGGAGTACTTTCATGTCCTAGAGTATGAAGAAATAATAGAATTATAATAATTAGCTTTGACATTGGGACTGTGTTTTATATCCCAGTGTAGTTTAAAGATCTTTCCCTTACACACAGACTATTTAGAATATAGATAAGTAGACGAAAGAAGTAATTCCCCAAATAATAATAATAACCAAGCCACTGGCCGCTGTTCTCTGCAGAAGCCAAAGTGCAGAGAAGGCCATGGCCATCCTGTTACTTTGTTTGAAGGAGACAGTATTCATAGAGCTGAAATTCTTGGGCAGGAAGAAATTGGCATCTAAAACATGTCAATTTCCACAGTTCATGCCTTCAGCTTCTACATAAGTCAATTTAATATTAATTATTAAAGTGTTAATGTGATGTTTCTGTCTGTATGCCTTTTGTATCCTCTTCACATGTTGTGCATAGAATTCTATACATGAAATATATATTATGGAAGCCCATAGAAGATTTAAGAAAATAGAAATTGCATTGGTGCCACATTGATGGAAAAAAAAAAAAAAAAAGACTGTTTATCTTGGAGTAGTTTAAACCAAGAGTGAGCCCAAATTTGAATTCACCACTTCTCCCTCTGTGTCTTCCTTCTGTCCCTAATAAAGGGCTTTCCTCTATATTTATAGAATATCACAGAAAAATATGGCTTGAAAATGAGATGAGGAATCACTATTCTTAATTTTTTTTTTTTTTTTTTTTTTTGGTTTTTCGAGACAGGGTTTCTCTGTGTAGCTTTGCGCCTTTCCTGGAACTCGCTTTGGAGACCAGGCTGGCCTCGAACTCACAGAGATCCGCCTGGCTCTGCCTCCCGAGTGCTGGGACTAAAGGCGTGCACCACCACCACCCGGCCACTATTCTTAATTTTTTTTTACCAGAGTTTACAAAGGAAGAATTTACTTTATGAACCATAATGACCCAGAATAGCACTCTAATCCACAAACAAATATTATCAACCTATATCCATATATTGCTGCCAACATTTATGGTAGATACTTGTTTTTCTTAAGTTCACTTCCAACCTATTGGTTGCTGTCAGTAAATGATGCCCACAACATCACACATGCACACATGCGCGTTCACACACACACACACACACACACACACACACACACACACACACACACCACTCACACACTATTCTGAGAGTTTGGATGGAAGAATACAAAATTTAAGATTAAAGCTATGCCTTTAGCTTACCTTGTAAAAGCTGATTACATGGGAAGTGCAAGGCACAGTTAGACTGGTTACATTGTTTTCTTAAGGGGAGGATAGCCTTAAAACAGGCTCAATTCCCAATAGGGAAGCAGATTGAGGACAGAGTTTTAATGGTCTCGGGGCACACCATTAACTTGGTTGCAAATCTGGCAAAAGTTCAATTTCTGAGGGCCAGAGACATTTTTAGAGAAAGCTGTTTCCACAGTGAATGGTAGAAATTGACTTCATCATCACTCAAGTTTGGAGCTGTGAGGGCCTAATGATATCATAGCATCCAGCTCACTTTCACATCTCAAGAGTGAGAAACCCTCCACAGGGCATGATGGTGACTGGGTGGCAGATATTCACCTTAGTCCTCTGTCACTGCCTTTTGCTAAGGAGTCATTTAGAATCCTTTGCTAAAGCAAGGCAGACAAGAATAAAATTAGCTTAATTTGTTAATGGAGCCTCCTTCTGTTCCCCTTGCCCATTTTTACTCTGTAATGAAGTGAAAAGGAATCATGGTGGTTGAGTGCTTGCTATGATAGAGCAGTCACTCTTCCAGGAGTGTCACTGCCTGTCCTGACTACATCATACAAGAATGTACACAGTAGCTCCTTCTGGTCAAGTTTTTCTGAGAGTTGTGTTAGATCATGGATATAAAGTACCATGTTGGACCTCAGAGTAAGCTTTAAGCCAGTACTAGTGCATATAGTTTGCATATAAAATTACCCAGTAAACTACATAGCACTTTCACATTTCATGCAACAATTCACCAGTTGCTGAATTTTAAAAGCAAGTCTCAAAGTAGGAATATTAATTGTTCTTGAAATATCTACAAAATGTGTGAGCCTGATTGCTGATTGGAAATTTAATTGGGTGAGCAGTTAAGAGCACTTGCTGCCTTGCAGAGAACTCAGGTCTGGTTCCCAGTACCCACATGGCAGCTCATAATTATCCATAATTCCAGTTGTAGGGGATGCAACTTCCTCTCCAGGCCTCTGTGAGTACTGTGTATGTCGGTAGTGCATTTGTGTATATATACATACGCAGGCAAAAACACTCATGCATATAAAATAAAAATAAATAAATCTTAAAAAGAAATTTAATGGCGCATTAAATAAAATATATAAAGTGAGAAAATATTAAGAATTGTGTGGTTTAGTATTATGTCATCTTGATACAAGCTAGAATCATTTGAGAAAAGAGAATCTCAGTTGAGACATACCCCCTCAAGGCATGTAAGCAAGCCTGTAGTACATTTCCTTAATTAATTAATTATTGGTGTGGGAGGGCCTGGCCCAATATGGGCATGCTGCCCCTGGGCTGATGATCCTGAGTGTTATAAGAAATCAGGCTGAGCAAGCCATGAGAAGCAAACCACTAATCAGCAATCCTCCATGGATGGCCTCTTCTTCAATTCCTTCTTCTAGATTCCTGCCTTTAGTTCCTACCTGACTTCCCTTCATGATTGGCTGAAACAAAACCTTTCCTCTTCAAGTTGTTTTTTGGTCATGGTGTTTTATCACAGCAATAGAAGCCTTAAGAAAGTCAAGAATGAATAAAATATTTCTTTGCCAGGTGTGGTGGTACATGCCTTTGATCCCAGCATTTGGGAGGTAGAGGAGGGCGGATCCCTAAGTTTGAGGATAGCCTGGTCTACAGAGCAAGCTCCAGGACAGCTAGGGATGTAATGCAGAGAAACACTGTCTTGAAAAACAAAAACAAAAAATTCTGTTTATTCTGAATAAACTATTACTGTGAAATCATACTTAACAATCAGTAGAAAATTCCTGCATTCCTTAGTTGTTTATGATCTTCTATTAGATCCTAGATTAACTTTCTAGACCCTCAAGTTGCATGGCACCTCCAGAGAAAAAACCACTTTTCACTTACCTAAATCCAGCCCATCTAGATACCAAGAGCCAATTACCAACACTGATTCTGCAGGTTGATAGAATATGTAGTTCCCTAATGGCAATTCCTGGTTCATGCTAGCATTTAAAACCAGTAGAAAGTGATCCTCAGCTCCTCTTTCCTTTGTTTCCTCTAGAAATGTCCAGAAGGAAGACCGTACTCCAATGGCCGAGGAATATAATGAATACAAGCACATAAAGGCGAAGCTACGGCTGCTGGAGGTGCTTATCAGCAAGAGGGACGCTGATTCCAAGTCTATGTGAAGGACTGGTAGCATGGACGACAGCTTTCCCGGAAAGATTAGCTCTGGAAGGCAGCCTTGGAGCTGTACCTGCGAAGCAGGCAACCCCCTGCCTCTGAGCCGTCAGATTAGCTCCTGCTTCCATGGCCTGCATGGAAGATGACAGTGTGACCTGACTTAGGAATTTCATAATGGGAGAGTCCAGACTCCTACCCATGTCAATGCACACTGCAGTAAGAACTTAAGGGACATGAGCAGTGATCAGACACACCATCAGACACACCCATCTACAGATAATTTGCTGTTCTTCCCTGACAACTAAGAAACACAAGGCCATCCTAAAACTGTGACAAACACAAGCTCAGGACTTCCCTCGCAGAGCCTGCTTCTTGTGGCGGTCTGTGCTCTCCCTGGCCCCCACCACATGGTGACCGTACTTTGGCGTACCATTTGCTGCCTTGGCCGTTTCCCCAAGCTGTACTTATTCTCTCCCACTGATCCATTTCCCGTTAGCTCTCAGGTAGATGGAAGCTGTATCTGCCAGAGGTGGCAGGGCAGTCCTTTCATTGATGTGCTCTCAGCCGACAGACTTTAAGTCCCTGCCTCATACTTGTGTATGCTGAGGACAGAGTGACAACCGAAGTAGCTATGCAGATGCGATTTTTAAAATCAGGTGACAGCTGAAGAGCCTGAAACCTCTTCAAGACACTGACTGCACTTTCCAGTCTCAGACATTGTTGAACACAAAACAAGGCCAGTGTTCCTACGATAACATGTTTGGGGCTCAATTTTGTTGTTGCACTAGCCAAACAAAGGGGTCTTGCTTAATTATTAGACTAGGTCTAGACTCTCATGGGAGAGAGGAGTCTGTATCAGCCTCCTGAGCTTACCAGAGTTTAATTTTTCTACAAAAGTGAGTCTGCACTAAAATCCTTAAATGGATGGGTAAGAAGATGTAGCCCTCAGAGCTCAGCTCAATCTCAAGGCAGGATCTAGATCCCAGTTTCCAAGATGATACGTAAACAAAATGGTGTGTGGCCAATTTCAATGCTCTTTTTTTTCCCCCAAAGTCTATGTCACAAAGCGGTCTATATTAGACATTTTGGAGGGACCAGGGAACTTGAGACGCCCAATCCTTCATCTCTTCTGTGTGCTTGCTGTCACTCTGCGCTGTGTTGTTTCTTTTCACCCACTGTGTCTGTCTGAAGAACGAAGCCTGGGCTTTGCAGGCACCCGCACGAGGTGCGTGGCAGCCTTGCCTAGGACGACTGCGGCAGAGGCTGGGCAGGCAGCAGGGAGACCTCGTTCTGTTTGGAGAGTGGCTTTCTGCGGGATACAGTGTTAAGGAGGAGAAGGGAAAATTGTAACACCCGTGGCAATGATAACACCAGTTTGGGGTTCTCCGGTCAGATGATTTTTCAGGACTGCTCTCCTCACTGTAGCTCAGTCATCAGGGGGCTCTTTCAGTAATGGGGCTGGGGGTGGAGAATTCCTTCCGTTTTGCTTTTACAAATAATCACATAGAAGCATGAGCTACGTGTTGGAAACACTCTGTTTTTATCCACACACATAAAGACGGTACATAATCCTACAAATTTCAATATACATGAAGAGGTAGTTCGATGTTCTTTGCTCTGCTGTTTACATTTGCTGATTTCAAAAAGCTGTATTAGAAATAAAATTATGTAATGTAGGATTGTTTCCTATTTTTGAAGCCTGAACATCAATCATTCACATGACCAAAAATTGTATTTTTAAAAAGAAATCCATATCTAGTCTGTAATTTTTAACTACTTATTCTCCGAAGTTAACTATGGAATAACTCAATTAGTACCAGTTAACGTTTAAAGCACATGGGGACTCAGGAGTATTGTTTTGAAAAAAATACACTAGAGGTTTTTTTCTAAGCTGCATATAAATGAAACGCTACTAGATGTTTTGAAATCCATTGTTTTCACCAAAGGTAAATGAACTAAAAGACTTATCAGGACTCCCACTCAGTTTTATGTGATCAATAAAATACCAAGTTATTGGAAAATAAATCATGTATGGAATGGTTTCCTTCATAATCTCTGACCAGTTTTCCTCATAAAATGGAGTCCAAACGAATGTGGGAGCTGTGTTTATATCAGGTCTTCTCTGCAGGCATATTACTCAGCGGTTTCTGGCTCTGCTGCAAGTGTGGGGGAAATTGGTTTCCATGGCAACTGTCTCTGCAGCTCTCTGTCTCCAAGCACTAGAGGCAGCATCTTAATTGGCTTCACACAAACAGAATGCTGTAGGCTAGGGATTCTTTTCGCTCTCTTGAGAACAAGCATGTATCTTAGTACATAACAAGAAAAAACATCAAGGGTTATGTAAGAATCAGCTTGACTATGTGATCATGAGGATTAACGGAGTGGTAAAATCATGTAATGTTTATAAATGCTTGCTTTTATTGTGTATAGTCTAGAATAAATATTGAAATAGGCTTTTATATTATTAATTACACTGCCATTACAACATTTCATCTTTTCACCATTTAGTTTAGACTTTACTTTTTAAGACATGGTGGTACAATGTTTCCAATAAAGGCCTGCTCCTAAAGATCATGTTGGATTTCAAATTAAAAATCTACGGTTTTTTATTACTAGACTTCACTGTGAATGCTAGGTTTCTCCCCCTTGATGGGGGCTTTTAAAATTTTCCCTCTTGATGGAGGCTTCTAAAGTTTAACCTTGCTTCTAGTCAAAAGATTATTATTCACTATAGAGCTGCTATCAAGCATGACTGTTTGGAGCAGAGAGCAATTTTCACTTTGTCTCTTTCTGATGCAACACTTATGCAACAGGAAAAGCCTCTTGCAGGCTGGATCTGCTCTCCTCACCTGACATTTCTAGACCAAGACCATTCTAGCCAATTTGTGCCTGGGGCCATCAGTCTTAGAGCCCTTGGGGGCTGACTAAACTGAGCTGAGTTGAGCTTGGAATTTTTTTGTGAGGTAAGACTCAGAATGAAAGAATAAAAAATGGTCACAATATCCTTTAGAGTAGTCTGTCTCGGGGCTTCCTAGTTTTCAGTAGAGGAAACAGGGTGCAGCAGCCATCACAAATTTACAAGGAATGTCACAGATTTAAACTTGATTTTCAAGAGATTTAAACTCCAGTAAGACAGAATGTCTCCATTGCTGACAGTATGTGTACCACAGACCACTCTGTGAAAAGCTAGTTGCAGTCTAAGTTTTGTTTTGCTTTCTTTCATGGATGTTTTTCCCAACACTCACATCGCATCCTGAATTTTCTTCCCCCAGTGTGGCAAGATGGACTCTGTGCTGAGATCAGAGCCCATGTGATAACTTCTCTGTCCACTTGGTTCAAGCAGTAGGGAGGGACAAAACAGTCTCCTGAATGCTGGAGCCACATTTTCCCTGAAGTGCCATGTATGTTTAGCAGAATCCAGAATGTGTTCTAATTTCCTTCATTGACATAACTTTGTCCGATTGACCCTAAAATGTACTAAAAAGAACATTTTTTCAAAGACAAGTCAGCATGTTTTCAAATTGCTATATTTACACTGTGCACACTAGCGTGGCTAGAAATTCTACTTAACGAGGGATGTTCTAAGCAAGAGTAATATGTACATATCCAGCACTGCCCATGTCACTGGCCACTGCCCCATGATCATAACACATGTATGGATATAGACAAAGGCCAGAACCTCAGATGCACATAGATGTATATGTGAAGGGGAAAAGTCTATGCATTTACAATTTCATATTATTTTGAAGATTCATGCCTCTATAAAGTTTCATTTTTCCCAGAATGGGGCCAGCCATGGTCAAGTGCATGGCCCAAGGAATCAGTTTGTTGACAGATCTAATTCTCCATTTGAAAGCATGAAAATAATCAGAAATGGGTAAAATGTTACTAATATAGGCCCACAGCAATATTTATATGAAATATAAGCAGAAAATATTTAAGTTACCAATGTCCTTAAAAAGAGAAGCTGAATGCAAACCATTGTGTACATTTTTATGACGGCATTTTTTATTAAAAAAAAATAAACTATTTTTAACTGTAGAAGCTCTGAAGTTTGTGTCAGCATCACGTAACTGAGCTGCAGCTGGGGTATGACCTTTCCCTTCTTGTAGGATCCAGTGCTGGTCCACATGAGCCCCTGCAAAGCCTCATGAGGATTAGGTTTTTGTTCCGTCTCCAGAGAAGGAGGGCATTGCAAGGTGAAGCACACTGTGCCCATGTGTGGTAGTCAGTGTAGAAACTAGAAAAGCAGGTTGTACTTTCTACCACCTGCCTTGAAATTATTCCTAACAGAGCTGAAGAGGTGCAGGAGCAAGGGCCCCAAGGAGCCCTCTCTTTGGTTAAGTACATTTGCAAGTCTACGAGGCCACCTGAGGTACATATTTTAGGCATTTACTATTCTGAAAGTAAACAAGGACCGTAAATGTCTGGAGAAAAGACATTGCAGCTGTGTGAAGGAAGCAGCTCAGCCTTCAGAGTTAGTCACCTGGCAGGCCAGGTGCCACCCAGCACCTGCTCCCTGAAGGCTAGCCTCCAGTGTAGGCACAGGACTCCATGCCCCTATGGCTGAGGGGACACAGTACTCCAGTGGTAGAAAGCATAGTTGTGACCTTCAAACAGCTCGTGTCTGTATACGTTCCAAGTGACTGAAAATCATTTAGGTTGGAAGAACCTTGTCCCACTGCTGAAATATGAGTGACTTCAGGGCACAGAGATGATACTTCATTCCACCCTTCCCAAACTGAAGCCCACCTGGAGTACTTTAGTTTTTCTGACAATGAGTCCAAAGTAATGAACTTGGAAGAAGTGGCAGGGGGCATTTAGTGAACCTGTTTCCTTCAATATTTTGATGCTGCTTTGTGTGTGTATGCGTGTGTTAGTTGTGGTACACACATGTAAGAGTGACGATGAAGGATGCTGTGTTTACACGGACAGAGGTCAGAGGAGAACAGGACACTGGAAGCTTCCTAGCATTCTCCACCTTATTGCCTTCACACAAGGGCTGTTAATCAGTGGTTCTCAACCTATGGGTTGTGACCCCTTGGAGTTGAACAATCTGACCCTTTCACAGGGATCACCCAAGACCATCAGAAAACAGAGATACTTGCCTTACAATCCATAACAGTAGCAAGATCTCAGTTAAGAAGTAGCAAAAAAATAATAATTTTATGGTTGGAGGTCACTACAACATAAGGAACTGTGTTAAAGGGTCACAGCATTAGGAAGATTGAGAACCAATGCTCTAGACAAAACTGCAAGCTCAAGTGGCCAGGGACCTTTTGGGATCTGCACCCCTCCTCCTCTCAATGCTGGGGTTATAGGGATGGATGCATGACCTTTCCCAGCTGTTTATATGGGAGATGGAGATCCAAACTCAGATCCTCATGCTTGCAGAGCAAGCTCTGTGCCCAGGGAGGTGATGCTGCTTCTTTTGCGGGAGCAGAAAGTTAAGTGAGCTCAAATTCACACAGGTCTACAACTTGGTCGAGTGCCAGATGCACTCAATGCACACGCTGTCCTCTGCCCCAGCTGTGTGGCACTTTTGCTTCTCCTCCTGTGGTAGTTTGTAGAGCTGGCAGCCTGAACAGAAGGTTGCGATGAGACCTCCATGTGGTAGGAGGGCACACACTGGGGAAGTGGCTTCATGATTGCCTCTCTGGAATGGATTCAGCAGCTTGTAAGACAAAATTTACCAATGTAATCTCCAAACTAGGTCAGCTTGCCAAGGCTGGACTTACTCAGTAGAATCTTATACCCACTAAGCCAAGTCAAAATTCCCAAGTGCATTTCAGCATCCTGGCATGTGGATGGGGGTGGGGGAGGGATTTGGCAAGACCTAGAGGTGCTGACAGCTTGGTTCTCACTTTCTTCTCCAGCAACAAGGCTTATCACGAGGGCAGCAAGGCACAAAACATGGTGAGAAGCAAATCCCTTGGACCACTCAGACTCCCAGTGGAGCCTATGTGTGTTTAAATCAGACGTTGCTATGAATTCTGAAATTCAGGCTCTTTTGCAACTTTGAATTTAATTTTTCAAAAGCCATTCAAAGACATACATCAATCTTTAGGCCATCCTTCTAGGCCTGCAGCTCTGAGTACGACTTGGTAAGACATTTTGAGACACTGATGATCACTGTCTATTACTGGGCATGGTTAGGGGAAGGACAGTGGCAACAGGTAAGAGAATGCTTCTCACATCTGGACACACACGTGGCTGGGCTACCGGGGTGCCACCTCGGTGAGGACTTTGGGATGAGTGCTGCAGCTGAGAAAGGGCCTCGGGATTCAGAGTCTCAGGAAGGGCCGCGTGGTAACGCTTTTCTGCTTGCTGCCATGTTGCTTGTCCAACCTTAAGGAGGGTGCAGGGTGCATGTTGTGGATCTGTAGACAAGAGCAGTTCTACAACTAATCCCACCTCCTATGTCACAAGACAGGGTGGGCCCACTGGTCAACACCCGGAGCCAGAACCGTGTAGGCACTTGAAGGCCCCACTGTGTGATCTAGGCAGAGCATTTATCCTCCCAGGGGCTCTGTGTTTCTACATATGAAAAAGTGCAAATGATTGCAGTACTTGCTTTATAGGCTGTTATAGGCTCAATGCCGGGTCAGCATCGAAATAATGTTTTTATAGTCCAGAAACACATTCTGAAGTCTTTCAGAAGAGGCATTGTACTTCCCAAGATCATTCTCCATCCCACCCACTGTCTCAATCCAAATTTATACATGCCAGAAACAGAATATGACACCAACACTTTAAGTATGGGTCAGTGCTAATAAGATAAGATCTGTGTGCAGGAATGCATGTCCAAGCATGTGTTCATGTGTGTATGGGTGTGCATGCCCATGTGTATGAGGGTGTGTGAGCATTGTACATGTGTGTGCATGCATGCCATATGTGTGTGTGTGTTGTGCTCATATGTGTGTTGTGTGTGGTTGTACATGTGTGTACATGTGCACATGTGGGTACATGTGTACATGAGTATGTGTGTGTAGGTCAGAGGTCAACTTCAGGATGTGAAGATGAGCAAGATTTTATGGAAACAGTTAACCTATTCTGTTGGGAAAAAAACAAATCGTGACTATCACTATTCTCAAACACCCTGACTGCTTTCTCAGAAGGATTAATGCTTGCTAAATTCCTTCACAGGGCATGGAAAACCCTCTAAGTGTACTTCTCCCTAAAACATTTTGGGAGGTCCTGATCTGTTCAGACGCATCAGAAGAATGAACTGAGACGGCCACTGAGATCAGTGTGGAAACAAAGGCCTGAGTCCCATGGAGTGAAGGCAAAGAACAGCCTTTGAATTGATTTCTGGATGACTTAGATGTCCTGAAGTTTATCTTAGGGTGTATTTTTAAACTAAAAATTAACTGTACCCTAGGGAAGGGGAGTTGCTGTACTTTTGCCAAGCTGCTAAATTCCACAGCTTGCAGCCCTGACTGAGTAGGGTTTC